AGCTCATGTCGCCCAGGGATCGCCACGCCTCCCAGTCGATCGCGTCGTCGCCGTCGTAGAAGTACGCGGTCGGGCGCGGGACTACGCACGGGCCGCGCGTCGCTTGCTCGTGGAGCGCGTACAGGAGCAGGCGCGTGTCCTCGGTGATGCCGTTCGCGCCCTCGGGGGGGCTGCATGCGGGGAGGGAGAGCGCGTCGAACGACGTCGAATAGGTGAGCACCCGGCAGATCCGATCGAATCGGAGAGAGGCGGAGCGATCGTGGGGGGGGGGGGGGCGAAACCCGCGGGGACCCACTGGTCCCAAAACGCGCAAACCAGGTAAAACTTGTCCGGGAAAGGGAGATCCATCCCGCGACGGGCTGCCGTGGGCGCCCCCGGCCCGAGCGCGGCGCGGTTTGAAACGGCCGGGGAAACTTCCCCCCGGAGCTGTCGACCCGATGGGGCGCCTTCCCTTCGTTCATCTTCATCAGGAGGGATCTCCTTCCGAGCGCGCGCAAAGTACAGCCGCGCGGGCACCGCAACCGCCCGCCTCGGCACGACACCCGCGACGATGTCCGCCGCGGTGCACCTCGGGGGCGTCCGCGCGCCCGTCCGCGTCGCGAGGGCGTCGCGGGTCGACCGCCGCCCGACGCGCGCGGGGCGCGCGACGTCCGCGTCCGCCGCGATCTCTTCTTCCGAAAAAAACGTCCCGCGGGCGGGGCGGTTCCCCCCGGGCATCGACATCCACCAAGGCCGCGTGAAGCAAATCGTGGGCGGGACGCTGAAGGACGCCCCCCACGGCTCCCCGGCGTCGGAGACCCCGGAGACCAACTTCCAGACGGAGACCTCCTCCGCGGAGTTCGCGCGGATGTACCGGCGCGACGACGTTCGCGGCGGGCACGTCATCATGCTCTCCCGCGACGACGCGACGTTACAGGCGGCGATGGACGCCGTCAGCGCGTTCCCGAACGGGCTCCAGGTCGGCGGCGGCGTCACCGCGGAGACCGCGGCGCCGCTGCTCGACGCGGGCGCGTCGCACGTCATCGTGACGTCGTACGTGTTCCGAGACGGGATGGTCGATCAGGAGCGGCTCGACGCGCTCGTCGCCGCCGTCGGAAAAGAACGCGTCGTCCTCGACCTGTCGTGCAGGAAGAAGGGCGACGAATACTACGTCGTCACGGACCGGTGGCAGAAGTGGACGGACCTCAAGGTGGACGAGGAGACGATGCGCGAGCTCGCGAAGCACTGCGACGAGTTCCTGGTGCACGGCGTCGACGTAGAGGGGATGAAGCTCGGCGTCGACGAGGAGCTCGTGCGACGGTTGGGCGTCCGCTCGCCGATACCGGTGACGTACGCCGGCGGCGCGCGGTCGCTCGACGACTTAGAGCTCGTCAGGAGACCCGGCGGCGGGAGGGTGGACGTCACCGTCGGCAGCGCGTTGGATTGTTTCGGCGGAGAGTTGAAGTACGACGACGTCGTGGCGTGGCACGACCACCAGAAGACGCTCGCGGGCATCGTCTGCGACGACCCGGAGTGTTGACGCGCGGACGCGAATCGACGCGACGCGAATCGACGGGTCGGGTCGCGCGGTTGGGGGGGGGGTTGGTCGTGGGTTTGTGCGCGCGCGGGGTACAGCGCTCGTGCGACGAGGAAGAGGTCGAAGAAGAGGGACGAGAAGACGAACGAACGAAGGAACGAAGGAACGAAGGAACGAACGAACGACGTAATACGTAAGACGGGTTTATCTCCAGGATGGGTTCGTTCGCGCGCGCGTAGGCGTCGCCGTCCATCCGTCGTCATCAGCTCCACCTCCCGACGCCGCACAGCTCGAGCGGCTTCTTCGTGAGCGCCTCCATGCTCGCCCCCGGGCTGAACTCCACCTCCCCGTGCACGAGCTCCAAGCACGCGAAGTGGTGATACATCTCGGATATCGTCGCCAGGTCTAAAAACAGATTCCCGCAGTGCGCGAGGATCATCTTCATCTCTTTTTCGATCGGCGGGAACCGCTTCGATCGCAGACGCATGAGGTAGTCGCTCACGAGTAAATCGCAGTAGTGCACGCGCTGGTAGTGCGGCGACTCCACGGACGCGCCGCCGCCCCACTCGATCTTCCACGGCGGCTTACCCACGTACGCGCCGACGCCTTCTTTGAGGTTAAACGTCACGCGGTCGGCTTCGCGCTTCGCGAGGAGCGTGACTTTCTTCTTCGATCGCACTTGGACCCCGCGCTCGAGGTACTGGATCGCCTGACCCCAGTAGTGCTCCGGCTGCTTCGGCGGCTTTTTGGAGACGCCGTCGGCGTCGTCGTCGGAGTCCTCGGCCTGGACGTTCGGCTTCTCGAACGCGGGGATGATTTCTTCGCCGTCGCCTGCGCGGGCTTCGCCGGCGTCTTCGCCCGTCGCGGTCTTCTCCGCGGCGGCGGCGGCGGCGGCGGCAGCCTCCTCCATCGCGACCGCTTCCGCGCCTAAGACTGTCCTCGGGTTCGCCGCCATCGTCGCCCTGTGCTTCTCGATCGCGCGCTCCATCGCTCTCTTCGCGGCGGCGTCTCTCTCCTCGCGGCGGCGTTCGATGGCGTCGACGTCGCCGTCCAGCTCCTCCTCTTCGATCAGCGCGCCGCCTTTTCCGATCCCGAACGGCGCGGTCGTGATCGTCTCGTGCTCGTCCATGTGCAGGTCGAACCAGACCACGATCGCGTTCATGTACCCGCTCGCGATCGTCTCCATCCTGAGCACGGACTCGCGGCCTTTCCCGCGCGTCTGCGACCCGTCGAAAAAAAACTCAAACGCCTTCTTAGGCTTGGTCAGCGCCCGATGCGGAACGTCCCCGATCCTCACGGTCTCGTACGTCTTGTCCCACCGGTACTTGTTAAACGCGGACATGTCGAACCCGCACACCTCGGACGTGTACGCCTCCACGCCCATGCAGTACATCGTCGCCGCGGCCGGCACGACGACGTGCTCGGGCGTCACCACGTTTTTACGCGCGTTGGCGAGCATCCACATCACGTGCTCGCCCGTGAGCCCGGCGTCGAACATGTCCACGACGACCATGTTGTACCCCTCGTGCCGTGCGCCCTTGTGCCCTCTCGAGAGCTTCGCGACGTCCGCGTGCGCGACGGTGACCTGCGAGCTCATCTTATTCGCGGCGACGTTTCGACGCGCGCACGTCGCGAGCGCGCCGTGCCATTCGCACGCGAGCACGCTCTCCGCGCCCGCCCTCGCGGCCATCATGGACAGCAGCCCGCTCCCCGCGCCGACGTCCAACACGTGCGCGCCGTTTCTCGGGTCTCTCTCGTTGATCTTCGCGATCTGCCTCGCGATCGCGGCGTCGTACGCCTCCGCTCGTCGCGTGTCCTTCAACGCCGCGAAGTGATACTGCGGGAAGCTCGCGTCGTTTTTGTGCACGTGGATGTATTCCGCGTCGTCGACTCGGAATTGCACGCCCACGGTGTTGTGCGCGCACGTCAGCGGGACGACGTCGCCTTCGGCGACTTTGATTTCGCCGGGGAGGTACTGCGCGCTCGGGTGCATGGACGTCGGGCGGCGTTCTGTGTGCGCGCGCGCGTCGTCCGCGTCGTCGTCGTCGTCGCCGTCGTCGTCGTCGTCGAAGCCGCGGCGATTGGTAAAGTTGAACCCGCCTTCGTTCGGGCCGAACCCCACGGGCGCGGTCGTGATCGTGATGTCGTCGATCAAATGCAGCGTGTACCAAAACACCACCGCGTTGAACTTCCCCTCGCGCTCGAACGCGAGGTCGACCCTGCGTTGCTCGCTCTCCTCGGGCGGGTTTTGGAAGTCAAACGTCCACACCTCCACGGGCGGCGCGAGCGGGATCCACGCGTTCTCCCCCGGCGCCACCGCGGACGTGTACGTCGGCGACCACCGGTACTGGTTCATCGCGCTGACGTCTATGCCGCACACGTCGTCGACGCGCATTTCCACCGGCATCGCGTACATCGTCGCGGACGACGGAAGCAGGATCGCGTCCGGGAGGCACAGACTGTTCACCGCGTGTCGAAACGCCGGGATGATCCCGCTGGCGAGTAGCCCGTCGTCGATGATGTCGTTCACGATCAAGTTACACGAGATCGGGACGTCCCTGAGCATCGCGAGATCGGTCGGCCGCTTGTACACCACCTTGACCTGATCGTCGCTGAAGCCGTTGTTGAGAAGGTTTTCCTTCGCCGCGGTGGCGTGGTAGAGCCACCGGTCCGTCGCGACGACGTGGTGCGCGCCCGCCCGCAGCGCCTCCATCGCGAGTAAACCGGCGCCGCAGCCGAGGTTCAAGACGCGGACGTCTCTCGCGTCCGCGTGGAGCCTCGCGACCGCGGCTTTCACCGCGGCGGCGTACTTCGTCCTTCGCGCGACGTCCTCGAGGTACGCGAAGTGGCGCTTCGGGAGGCGGATGTCCGCCTGGACGGTCATGTAGTTGTACGTGTCCTTGAGGTGGTAGTCGTTCTCCGCCTGGAACGGCGTCAGGAGCTTCACCGGGAGCATATCCCGCGGATGGATGTGATGCAGCGGCGCCGCGTGCGGGAGGTTACCGATCTTTCCGCCGACGTGCGTGGACGCGGGCAGCGCGAGCGTCTCCGTGCCGCGGCCGTGAAGGAGGTCGCGCAGTATCGCGTCGGACGCTTCCTCGAGCCCACGCTTGAGTTCGACGTTGCCGTTGTCCATCTTCAGGCCGTTCTCGAACGCGATCTTCGCGAGGCGCGGTTCTTTGAGCCCCATGTGCGCGAACCCGACGCGCGCGAAGGCTTTCATGTACACGCGCGGCGCGTCCGAGGACGGGTCTCCGCGTTCTCGACGGAATTTTTCCTCCGCGAGGATCTGCGCCTTTCTCGCGTCCCAGAGCGCCTCCTCGAAGAGACCGAGGTTGAGGTAACTCGCCGCGCGGTTCGAGTGGCAGATCCCGAGGTCCTTGTGCGTCAGGTGGTTGTCGCGCGTCTTTCGGAACACTTTCGCGAACGCGGCGACGCATCGAAGGTCATCCCCGGCTTTCAAGTGCGCGACGGCTTCCGCGTTCAACGTCGCGATCGAGCGTTTTTTGAACGACGGATCGGCCGCGAACATCTCGTCGCGCAGGCGGATGATGGCGAGCCGCGCGCGCGTCTTGCGCGCCTCCTCCGGGTCATCGCGCGGGAGGTCCTCCGCGTCGGGGGCGACGTGCGCGTCGTCGTTCTTCTCCTCCTCGTCGCGCGGTTCGTCGTCGTCGCGCGCGGCGGCGTCCGGGACGTCGTCGCCGTCCTCGCGCGCGCTGTCGTCCACGTCGTCGGCGTCGGCGTCGGAGGCGTCGGAATCGGAGTCGGACAGGACGGGGACGCGACGCCGCGGCGGCGCGCGCGGCTCGTCGCCGTCCGCGTCGGAGTCGTCGGAGTCCGAGGGAATCGCGAACCCGTCGTCGTCGTCGTTCTTCTTCTTCGTCGTCGTCGTCGTCTTCGTCGCGGACTCGAACGCGACGTCCGCGCGTCGGTCAGATCGCGTCCCCGACGACGGGACGTTCTCGCGCGCGGACGGCATGAGGTCGCTCAGCTCGAGCGCGGCGATGCGATCGAGGCCGTCGCGCACGGTGTCGTCGACGCTCCACGCTTGCGTCGCGTCGGGGGCATCGCTCGCGGTGTCTCGCGTCATGGCGTGAGGTCGTGCGCGGGGTTGAAGTGCCGCGCGACGCGACGCGACGCGGGGACGTCTCGCCGGAAGAAAGGAGGCGAACCGGCGCGGAGACAAGACCGCGACTCTGAGAAGGAAGAGACGACGATTAATTAATCCGTTCTACAAGCGTCGCCGACGCGAGAACAACTTACGACATCCCCATCCCCGCCATCATCTTCTTCAGCGGATCCACAGCCTTGATGTTATTCTCCTCGAGCCTTCTCAGGTGGTTGATCTTCGTCGGCAGCAGCGCCGCGAACTGCCGGCTCACCTCCGCCTCTTCCTCAAAAAACGGCAACGGCCCGAAGGCGTCGACGTACGCGACGATCTTCTGATGCTCCTCGAGCGCGGCCGCGAGCGCGTCCGCTTCGGACCCGGCGCCCGCGGACTTCGCCACCACCGCGGCGCGGAAGAATCTCGCGTTGAGGTACGCCTTCTCCTCGTCCTTCGGGACCCTCCCGGCGAGGCTGCCGCCGTCGCGCTCCGGTTTCGCAGCGCGAGCGGCGTCCGTCGCCGCCGTCGTCGTCGTCGACGGCGCGCCGTACCGCGACTCGTACGCCGAGAGGTATTTTCCGTACGCCATCGCGGCGACGCGCGCAGGGGACGCGTACGATAACGCCGGTCGATCGGCGATCACCTTTTGCTCCATGATCGCCCGGTGCGCCTCGCCGATCTCGTGCCACATCGTGAGTTTCAAATCGTCGTACTTGGCGTTCGTGAGTCGCTCGACGACGTCGTGAAGCTTCTCCGCTCGTCGGCGTTGAATCGCGTCGTGCCGCTTCCGGTCGCCGCGTTCAAACACCGCGAGCGCGGCGTGCGCGGCGGCGACGTCCATTAAGATGTTCACGTGCTCGGTGACGTGGCCTTCTAAGGTGTAGTACGTCAGCGCGTTTCTGAACGCCACGATGGCGTTGTTGAAGACGACGCGGACGCCGTCGACGGTCGCGGGGACCCAGCCAGTCTCCGGCTCTCGCGTGTCTTTCGCGAGGAGGCCGATCGAGGGAAACTCGAACGCGTCGTCTTCGTCGTCGTTTTTGGCGTCTTCGATTTTGTCGTCCCCGTCCCCGTCCCCGCCGCCGCCGCCGCCGCTCGTCGTCGTCGTCGTCGTCGTCGTCGTCGTCGTCGTCTCCGCCTCCCCCTCCCCGCCGCTCGAGACCTCGTGCGGGTTGAAGAAATCCTCGTCGACCTCCGCGTCTCCCGCGCCGCCTTTCTTGAACGCATCTTTCGCGAGCGTCAACCGCGCGAGGTGAAACTTCCCGCGCGCGATGTTCACGTTCGCGACGACGTCCACGGCGGCCATCTCCGCGATTTCCTCCGCGGCGTCCTGGATCACCTTCGTCGCGGCCAAAATACACAACCACGCCCCCGGCCAGTCTCTCTTGCTCACGTAAAACCCGCTGAGCTGCGCGGCGTTCTGCGCCCACTCGTCCGGCGCCGCGCTCTCATCCCCGCCCTTCTTCTCGAGCTGCCGCCGCAGACACCACGAGCACGCGCGCGCGGCCTCATCCGGTTTCCGTAGCTGCCCGAGCGTTTGCGCCAGCAGAAACAGCGTCCGCGTGTGCGCGAGCTCCTCCGCATCCGTCGGCGGCGGCGTCGTCTCCGTCTTCTCCTCCGCCGTCCCTCGACCCGTCGTGTGCTCCTCCCCGGCGAACGCGTGTGCCATCTGCGCGTCGCGCAGAAACGGCAGCGCGCGGCTCGGCTCGCCCCGCTCGCACCACGCGACGCCGAGCTCGTTGTTGCACTCCATCAGCGCGCCGCGGCACGAGAACCCCGCGTCGTCCCTGCTCAGGAGCGACCGCGCGTGCATCAGCAGCGGCACCGCGGTCCCGAAGTCTTGCGCGTCGAGCGTCAGCGCGGCGCGGCGGTGCGTCGCGAGCGCGCGGACGTCGAGCAGCGCGGAGCGCAGTTCGCGCGGGACGTCGTCGAGGAGCTCGCCGCGGCCGTCGTGGCCCGCGAGATGAACGATCGCTTTGTCCAACGACTCGAGCAGCTGGATCGCCGCGTATTTGGACTTGTGCGGCGTGTCGCCCGGGTCCGCGGCGCTCTGCGGGCGGGCGGGCGGAGGAGGGCGATGGACGACGTCAGTCGAAGGGGGGGACGACGCGCGGCGTCGGTCGAAGCGCGGCGGCGGGGGAGAAGAGATCCGTCCGTCCGATCCGACTCGATCGATCGAACGTCGTTCTGTTCGCGCGCGCTTCGCTTCGATTCGATCGACGACGCGGAGGGCGGGGACGCGCCAGGATCCGGCCGAGCTCGTTCACGACCGCGGGCCATCGTACGGTGACGAGGTCCACGACCCGCTCCTCCGGGGTCGTGTGCGCGTTCATCGCGCCCGCGGGAGGGAGGGAGTGACGCTCGATCGGTGCTTCGCGTTCGGTCAAGAGGTTTTTTTCGTCGTCTCGGTCAGCAAAACTTTTCAGCAACAAATACACTACGTGGGGCCGCCGTCCGTCCCCGCTACTCATCACGTCGTCGTCGTCGTCCTCCTCCTCCTCCTCCTCTACTCGTCGTCGTCCGCCGGGTGAAACGCCCAGTACGCGTCCATCGCCTCGCCGTCGCTGTACCGCCAGTAGTACGGCACACACCAGCACCACAGCAGCTCGCACTCGCCGCGCAACCCGACGCCGCCGCCGTTTGCGATCTCCTCGTCGCACCTCCACGGTCGAAACCGCCGCGTCCAGTCGTCGATCCTCGGCGGCAGTCGATCCCGCGCGCTCAAGAACGCGTACGCGTACCCCACGACCGCGTACGCGAGAATCACCCCTAACGCGGTCTGTGCGAGCCCGACGACGACCGCGCGGCCGCCGCCGCCGGGCGAAAACGTCCCCGGCGGCGGCGGGTTTGGCGGGGGGCGCGCCGGCGCGGGCGGCGGCGACGGCGGCGACGGCGGCGGCGGCGGGCTGGGCGGCGGCGCCGGGTAGCGCACCGCCGCGGTGAAGTTCACGTCCGCGACCGCTTTCAGACCGTTCAAAGCTCCGCACGGGAGCACCTGGTTCTTGCAGAGCAGCTTCGCGGTCGTCGACGACAACGCCGGCGGTTGCTCGGGAATCTTCTTATTACCACCGAACGGACATCGCTTCGGCTGGTCGACGATCTCGCAGCCGTCCGTGGTGTACGACGACTCCTTGGCCGCGTCTTGGAACACGAGCGTGAGCACGACGTCGTCGCACCCCGCGCTGCCGCAGCTCGCGTCGCCGCCGAACGTCCCCTCCGTGAGCGCGACGAACGTGAAGTTCGAGACCGGGGAGAGCGCGCCCGAGGCGAGATCGTACGCGTCGACGACCGTGCACGTCTGCTGCGGCGCGCACGCGGGGGCGGCGCACTCCCAGTGCGCGTTGCAGTTGGTCGTGGACGCGCCCGCGGGGAGGGGGTCGCACGTCACCGTGGGGTCGCACGCCCCGGCGTTGGCCCCCGCCGCGAGGGCGAGGAGGAGGACGGCGAGGAGCGGGAGGCGCGGCATCGAAGTGACGTCGGGGGCGCTTTTTCGCGCGAATTTTTTCAGAGAGCAGAGAGAGGGCGAGATCGGTTTGAACCGGCCGCCCGCCTCGCGCCGCGCGCACTGACGCGACGCGCGTGGATGCGAACCGCGAGGGCGATTCACGTCCGCGTCGTCAGCGCACTCAAGAGCGCGAGAGCCCCCGCCGCCGCGTCCCGCCCCGCCGCGCTCCAGCCCCGCCGCGGGTTCCACCGGAGCGTCGATCGATCGTTTTTCTCGGAGCGATCGGCGGTGGGCACCGTTCGCGGCTGTCACCGTCCACACGCGTCGCCGTCGCGCGCCTCGCGACCGACGATGTCCCACGTCCCCGTCGGCGGCGAGGACTTCCCCGTGGACGAAGCCGCGGTGATGCGAGGTGACGACCATCGCATCGCCCCCGCGGTCGAGAACGCCTCCTTGATGGGCTTCGACGCGACCGCCGCGACCGCGGCGGCGAAGGCGATGATCATAGCGTACCCTGGCAGGGACGACGTCTCGGAGCTCGTCATCGACCAGCTCCTCGCGGGGTGCGGCGGCGGCGAGCGATTATTCAAGCTCCCGAAGGAAGCGCCGAGGGCATACTTAGACGGCGCGGTGTCGGCGCCGCCGAGGAGGACGCCGGCGCCGGAGGAGGACGCCGTCGCCGGCGGCGGCGGCGGCGGCGCGGGGCTGGTCGAAGACGCCATCGATCTCACCGGCGCGTCCCCCCCGGAGGACGGCGCGACGGGCGGATGGAAACGGCATAAGACGACCGCGGAGAAGGCGGACGTCATCACGATCGACGGCGACGACGTCGGCGCGGGGGTAGACCTAGGCGGCGGCGCGGGCGGCGCGAGCGGCGTCGGCGGGAACTCTCTGATGGCGCAGCTCGCGAGAGAGCGCATGCTTCGCGCGTCCGAGCGCGGGGACGCCCCACCGCCGATCTCAGCGTTCCACGCCACCCCTCGATCGACCGCGAACGACCACCTCCGCCGCGCGCCGCCGAAGGCGCCGGAGAACAAGCACAACCTCACGGGCGCGGCGGCGAGGGTCGCGTCGCTCGCCGAGGAATCCGTCGCCGGCGGTACGAGTACGGGCAAACAGTCTAAATCCGGCGGCGGCGAGCTCGGCATCCTCGACGCGCTCCTCTCCGGGGTCGCGCCGCTGAGAGACCCCCTGAAAGAGATCCGACTGCTGACGTACAACGTCTGGTTCGCCGAGCACGTCGCGCTCGTGGACCGCATGCAAGGCCTCTCCGACGTCGTCTCCGCGCTCGACCCGCACGTGCTGTGCCTCCAAGAGGTGACTCCGAACATTCTGATGCTCCTGCACGCGCAGCCGTGGTTCGAGGAGTACAAGGGCACGCCGCCGCCGCCGCAGCAGTACTTCACCTTGGTGCTGTTCAAGCGGAGCCTGGATAACGTGGACAAGTCCACGAAGATCGTGCGGAGGGAGTTCATCACGTCCAAGATGGGCCGATACGCGGACGGCGTCGCGGGGATGTACGTCGGCGGCGATAAAGAGATCACCGTCTTCTCCTCGCACCTCGAGTCGTTCATCAGTAAGCAGCAGACGTCATCGGACGAGAGAGTGCGGCAGATGAAGGACGCGCTCAGGGCGCTGGATGGGCTGACGACGCGCCGGGGCGAAGAGCGGCGGAACCGCGCGTGCGCCAACGCGGTGTTCATGGGAGACACCAACTGGGACGAAGCCACGGACGGGCCGGTGCCTCTGCCGGAGGGGTGGGCGGACGCGTGGGAGACGCACGGGGACGGCGGACCGGGCTTCACGTACGACCTGAAGAAGAACGCGATGATGAGCGGGTACCTACAGAAACGCTTGGACCGCGTGCTGTACAAGCTCGCCGACTTTAGGGTGGCGAAAATCGAGATGGTCGGGACGACGCCGGTGACGCGGAAAGACGGCTCCGTCGTCACGCACGTGAACGAGTTTCGAGGGAGAAGAGAGACGAAGCCGGTGCTGCCGAGCGACCACTTCGGTCTGTTCGTCGCGCTGGAACCGATAGAAGACGCGTAGTCGTCGATCCGATATCCGATTAAAATTCCTTTTTCCGAGCCGCGAACGCGTCACTCGTACTCGTTCTCGTCCTCCTGCGGCACGGGCGCGGCGTCGCCGTCGCCGTAGTCGCTCTCCCCGTCCCTGTATTTCCCCTGCGCGAGCTCGTCCAGCTCTTTCTGCAGGTCGTCCATGTCGATCTTCTCATCCGTCTCCGGATCTTCCATCGCCGCGCGTCTCTCCTCCGGCGACTTGGGCTTCGTATCCCCGCCGAACCACCCGCCGCTCCTCGGCCGTCCTCTCGGCACCCGCGGCGGTTCGGTTCTATCGCGCGGTTCCCTCCTCGGCGTTCCAACCGCGGGGCGTTTCACTCCGGGCGTCGGCGACGGCGAGGTGTTTCCGGTCTTCGGCGGGACGGGCGAGCCCCGGCCGCGCCTCGCGCTTCTGTCCTCGCACTTCTTCAGACGCGCCTCGAGCTGCCTCAAGCTCTTGTCCCTCTCCGACGTCTCCCATCGCGCGTGGTCGAGCTCGGCGCGCAGCTTGTCGAGATCATCCGCGTGCTTCGACGCGATCGCGGTCGCTTCCTCCGCGCGCGAGTGCGCCTCGCCGTGCTTCTCCTTGTGCGCCTCGATCTCTTTGTGGAGGTTCTCCTTCTCTCTCCGATGCGCGATGGACTCGCGCACCTTCTGGATGCCGGTCGACGAGAGCTTCCCCTTGAGCTCCTCCTTGTCTCCGTGGAGTTTCCCCACCCACACGAGCGCGAGGACGCACCACACGAACAGGATGCCCTTGCACGCGGCGTAGACGTTCGACTTCGTGAGGAGGTGCCACGGGATCGCACCGCCGCGGCCTCTCTTTCGCTCTCTTTCGCGGCTCGACCCCCCGCCGCCGCCCATCCCGGGCATCGCGCTCGCGCCCGGGCCGTTGTAATACACCGGGATGTCCGCGTGCGGTTTGCGCATCATGTTGTTCCGTTGGTACATCGCGCGCGAGGACCCGGGGCTCCGTTTCCGGTTCCGCGCGCCGCGACGACGACGACGACGACGACGCGCGCGAGGGGACTGACTGGACGTCGGAACCCGTGCCGCCGGTGTCGCCCCGACGCCGACCGCGCGCCGCGCGAGTCGCAGTCGAGCGAGATCTCGGATCGAGCAGCAGCACTGCCAGTTGGCCGGCCGGGCCGGCGCCCTTCTCGACACAGCACGCCGCGCGCGAAGGATGCGCGCGCACGCGGGGCCGCGCGCGCGATGCGCGCCGAGCGCGAGAACGATAACGCCGAGCGCGCGCGCGGGGCCGCGCGCCGCGGCGACGCGCGATCGCGGCGGCGGGCGGGGCGACGGCTCGACGCTCGGCGCGGCGGCAACGCGTCGCCGCGGGAAGATAACGATCGGCGACGTCGACGACGCGATTCGCGCGCGCGACGACGCGTCCTCGCGCGGGGCCCCGGAGAGGATAGCGCGCGACGTCGAGGCCGAAGACGACGCGATAGGAACCCTTCGAGCGGCGACGCGCGCCGGGGTCGTCTCCGTCCTCGCCGCGGCGTTGATGAGCTCCGCGTGCCCGGGGCGCGCGCTCGCGGACGCATCGGAGCCGTCGACGTCGTCGTCGTCGCTCGCGTCGTCGTCGTCCGCCGCGTCGTCGACGCCGCCGCCGGGCGACGACGCGGCGTCCACCGCGACCGCGCCGCCGCCGGAGGCTGCGGCGGGGCCCTCGGACGCCGCGAGGCTGCCGAATCCGCCGCCGCCGCTGAGCGCGAGCGCGCCGCTGCCGTCGGAGGTGAAGAAGCAAGCCAAGGCGATGGCGGACGACGCCGCGCGAGACGGCGTCGCCGCGGGCGGGGACGCGGGAAGGAAGGAGTCCTCGAAAGAGAAGCGCGCGAACCGCCTCGAGGAGCTCAACGTCCTCAGGGTCGAGCTCGACACGAAAGAGTTGGAGCTGCGAGAGGCGGCGCAGGAGCTCTTGCGGCGGGAGCAGACGACGGCGGTGCTGACGGAGGAGCTGGAGCTGTCGCGGCGGCTCAACGACGTGTTATCCGCGGAGCTGAATCGCGTCAGGGAGGAGGGCAAGCTGTCCGTGGGGCTGTGCGCGCAGGGGCTAGGGTTGCCGTGATGACGCGTCGGCGACGTGGTGTGGTGGGGTGGGGTGGGGTCGTGCTAGCAGCATAGAACGCGGGGCGTCGCCGCGCGGCGGCGGCGGCGGCGGCGGCGGCGCCGTGAAAGAAACGTTTTCACTCGGTTGGTTTCGTCGTTTCTGTTCCGCGGACGCGAGGAGCGCTTCTCGGACGCGCCGACGACGCGCGAGCTACGACGACGGCGTTCTGTCTCCTCTCTCCTCTCGCGTCTTCGCCGCGCAGTCTCCCTCCCGCGCCGCTTCGCCGCCGCGTCGTCGTGGGCGATCGTTCCCCTCTGCCCGCCCATCGCGCGCTTCCTTCCCCGCGCCCATACGCGATACGACGCGCGAGAAGACATACAGACCCACGCCGCGGCAGCCATGACGGACGCGGCGTCGCCTCCGTCGTCGAAGCGACCGAACGACGCCGCCGCCGCGACGGCCGGCGGCGACGCGAGCGCGAGCGCGAGCGCGAGCGCGAACGCCGAGCCGTTCGTGGGCACGCCCGTGAGCGCGTCGAAGCGGCGGTACGTCGACCCGCGCGCGCCGCCGACGCGGCGCGGTCGCGGGCGCTCCACGCGGCGGCGCGAGGTGTTCGAGCAGTTCGAGACGACGCGAGCGCTGCTGTCGCGGTGGACGATCGGCGAGTTCTTGAGGACGTACCGCGGGGACGCGCCGAGACTGGTGACGACGCTGTCGATCGACGACACCGTGGGCGACGCGCTCGCGACGCTCGCGAGGGAGAACATCCTCTCCGCGCCCGTCGTGGACAAAGACGCGTGCCTGGTGCGACGAGACTCTTTGCCTTCGCTTCGCTTCGCTTCTCTTTCCTTTCGCCGCGCTCGAGCGCCCGTTCGCGCCGCCGCGCTCGAACGCTCGCTCGAACGCTCGCTGATGCGCTCACCAGAGCCGAGCGCCGTCGCCGTACCCGATATCGCAGTTCCTCGGCTTCCACGACGTCAGCGACTTCTTGTGCGGGCTCGTGGTCTTTCTCGAGCGGACGAAACCGCCGCCGCCGCTGCCCGCGGAGGTCGCGCGGCTCGAGACCGAGATGGACGCGCGCGCGACGCGAAGCGACGAAGAGCTCAAGACGCTCCACGATCTGAAAGACGAGAGCCGCAGGACGTGGATCGCGTCCATCACCGCGGACGAGCTCGCGACCGCGGGACGGGCGTTCTGCGAGACCGCGCTCGGCGACTTACGCGAGCGCCTCTCCGGGAACGAGGACGGGCGGATGGTGTACCAGGGCAAGTCCGAGACGCCGATGCTGGACCTCGTCCGCGCGGGGTTCTTGAGGGTGATCGTCGCCCCGGGGCACGACGCCGACGAGGCCGCGTGCGTGGCCGCGCGCGAAGACGAGGACGACGCGAACCGAGGTTCCGACGCGAAGCCGAAACCCGGGGAGTGGGCCGCCGTCAACCGCGCCGAGGGCGAGGGAGGAAAGACGATCGAGAGGATCCCGGGGGAGGGACCGGGACCGGGACCGGGACCGCGCGGTCCGCCGTCCGTGGCGGCGATCCCGCGCAGGGCGACGTACTGCCACCGCGTCGCGGTGTACAGACTCGCGTACGACGCGTCCGTCATGGACGACACGATGATCATCGACGCCGTGGTATCCCAATCCGACGTGATCCGGTTCCTCGACGCGCACCAGAAAGACCTCGGGGAAGTCACGCGTCGGAACCTCCTCGAGATTGGCCTCGTCGACGACGCGGCGGTCGCGCAAAACCGCGGCGACGTCGTGTGCGTTTTACCCACGACGCGAACCCTCGAGGCGTTCTCGCTGATGTACTCCGAGGGCGTCAGCGCAGTCGGCGTCGTCGCGGAACCGAGAGGGAAGCTCGTCGACGTCTTGAGCGTGTCCGACCTGCGAGGCTTCGTGAAACTTCCGACGTTGGACCTCTCCGTGGAAGAGTTCAAATCGTTAGACGCGCGGCACCGGTCGTATCCGGGCGGCGACGCGAACGTCGTGTCCGTGCGCCCGGACGCGGACATCGGCGACGTGTTGAGTAAGATGGCGGCGAGGAAGGTGCACCACGTGTTCGTGACCGATCTCGACGGCGCGCCGATCGGGATGATCACGCCGACGGATATCCTGAGCGCGATGTCGCTGCCGTCCACGGAGGGCATCGGGTGGCGGTTCCAGAGCGCGGAGCTGCATTCGATCTACGCGTGGGAGTGAAGCGAAGCGTGTGTGTGAGAGAGAGTGAGTGCGAAACGAACGACGTTCGACTACGATTTCGATGGATGTGAAAAAAACACTGCAAACGCCGCGTCACGTTCTACGCCGCGCTCGCGAGACTAACATATCGGCCCTCGCAACACCGGCGTCTCCACGCGGTCGTCCAACCCGCGCGTTTTCCACACCAACAGCGCCCTGTCCACGCTCCCCGTGGACGCGAGCCACGCGTCGTCCGCGGAGAACCGCACCGCGCTAGGGCCATTCCATACAAAAAAAGTTCATCGGTCAGTTGAAAGGGGGCGCGATCAAATGTTGAAACCGGGCGATGGGTGAAACACTTTTGTATAGAACGCACCTGACGTGGCTACTGTGCGCCCGCGAGTGCCGCCGACACGGCGCGCCCTTCGCGACGCACGGATAGTGCAACAACCGCACGTCGCCGCGGTCGTCCCCGGTGGCGAGGTGCGCGCCCCCGCGCGATCGATCCGCGGTGTTGATGTCGCTCGCGGCGCCGTGCCCGTCCTCCCACATCCCCATGACCGGGAAACCTACGAGCGCGGTGTGCGTGTGCCATCGAACGTCGCGCACGTCCGCGCCGCGAGGCTTCCCGCTAGGGACGTTCCAACACAGCGACTCCATGTTTTGGCACGTGCTGCGAAGGATCCGCGCGTCTCTCGACCAGTCCAAGGAGTTAATCGTCGTCGAGTGCCCCGCGCACGTGGTTATCGACGTAAACTTCCCGTCCACGTTCGCGTACACGTGCACGAGCCGATCCGCGCCGGCGACGGCGAGCAGCGTGCTATCCGGCGAAAACGCGAGGCACGACACGCGAGCCCCCTTCGCGGAGACGAGATCACCCGCGACGCGGTCGATCCCGCCGCCGCACGCCTGCGCCTCGGTCACGAACGCGAGCGTGCGCGCGTCGAGGACCTTCACGCGGCCGTCCCCGAGGCCGACGGCGAGGAGTTTGCCGTCGGGGGAAAAGTGGAGTCGTTTGGCGCCGCCGTATTCGTGCGCGCGGCCGGACGGCCCGATCCCGCCGGTGACGTTGGCGACCGCGAGCTGCGACCGCGACGCGGCGTCGAAGACTTTCACGCAGCCGTCCGCGCCGACGGTGGCGCACACGCTGGGGGCTTTCGGGTTCCACGCGACGTCGTTCAAGGCGTTCGAGCTGCCGCCGATGCGGATCCGCGCCTTCGTCGCGGTGACTTCCCACAGATCGCACATCGAGGTGCCTATGAAGAACGCGCGGTTCGACGCCGGCGGCGGCGGCGGCGCCGACGCCGACGATGCCGCGGAAGCGTTCTTCGTCGCGTTCGTTCGCTTCGACGCGTTCGACGCCGCGACGCTCCGGCTCGTGCTCGCTTTCGCGTCTTCCTCCGTTGCGACCTCCGCGGCGTCGTTCGCGCCACGCGGAAGCACCGCGAGCGCTCGTATGCGCGGCGGCGGCGCGTCCTTCCCGTACGGGCTCGTCAGCACGATCTCCTCCTCCGGCGAATCCTCGACGTCGTCCCCGCTCGGGGTGAGTCTCCACGTCAGAACGCGGCCGTCCGCGCCGGCGGAGACGACGACGCCTTCATCCGGCAGGAGCGTCAAACACCGCACGCCCTTCGTGTTCGGCCGCTGCGGCCGCTGCACGGACGGCGCCTCGCCCAAGTCCACGTGCGCGCCGTCGATAAACTTGATCAGCTTGCGCTCGTTCGCGTCGAACAGCGCGAGCCGACCGTCCGCGCAGCCGACGAGCACTTTCCCCCGCGTCGTCTTTTCCTTCGGCGGCGCGCGCACGGCGACGATGTTCCGTCTCACGGTGCGCATCCTTCCCTTCCCAGCCGCGGCCCCGGTGCCGGTCTTCGTCGCGGACGCGGTCGTCGTCGCGGTCGCGGTGACGCGCGAGGTGGACGTCGTGGACGCGGACGCGACCGACGGCGCCTCGCTCGCGGTCTTCGCGCTGGCCGAATCTTTGGCGGCGGGGGAGCCGGACCCGCGCGCTTCGTTCGCGTCGGGGTCGGGGTCTTTTCCCGGCAGAAATATCGCCGAGTGCGCGTTAAACGGCGTCGCGCTGTTAAACGACAGCATCTTCCCCGCGAACCGCCCGTCGGGTCCTTTCCGCCAAACCTTGACGTGCTTCTCGCCGTGCGTCACGAACTCACCGCCGAGGGCGGCTAAACGCTCGGTCGTCGTCAGTTTCTTCGCCAAAGGCCCGGTCGGTTCGGGCGCGCCCTCGACGGGCGCGAACGGATTCCACGCCACCCCCCACACCGCGGGCACCGCCGCTTGTATCCCCACCATCGTGTGCAGCGGCAGCGCGCCCGCGGGCGCGCGCCAGTCCCATATCATCACCGTGTGCTTATCGTCGCTCCCGACGGTGATCAACCGATCGCCCTCCGGGGAAAACGCGAGCGCGACCATCGACCGCAAGTACCCGATCGGGTCCACGACCCGCCCAACCTCCACGCATCGGGGGTCGCACTCGTCCCCCGCGGTCCACACGCACGCGCACGGCTTCGCGCCGTCCTGCCCGGTCGCGAACGTGATCCCGTCCGGGTGCGCGGCGATGCACCGAACGTCGTCGTCGTGCCCGCGGAAAAACCGCTGCCGGTGTTTTTTCGCGTCGTAGACCACGCCCATCGACGCGAGGTAATACACCGCGTCCCCGTGCTTGGACACGTGGAGGGTATTCGCGAGGTTGTCGCGGCCCGGGAACCCGTGCGCGAAGTCGAGCTCGAGCGTCGCCGCCGGGGTCGACGCGGAGCGTTTCGTCGTCGCGACCGCGCGCGAGAGCCAGTCGCTCGGCGGATACACGCCGCCGCGGCTTTGCGGGTACCGAATCTTCCCCAGGAACGTGGACGCGCGCGCGTCCGCGAACGGGCCGTCGCGGATCTCTTCTTTCCCCATGACGCGCCCGTCGCCTAGGACGAGCGCGCGGACGAAGACTTCGTGCGGGACGCGGCCTTTCGCGTCGTGCCCGACGCGTTTGAACACCGCGGCGACTTCCGCGTCGGTGAGTTGTGGCACCCCGAGCGTCGCCCAGGCAGCCTTGAACGCGTCTCGCGTGCACAGCGCGTCGTCGTTCGACGCGAGCTGCATCGCGTCGAGGACGACTCCGCCTTCTTTGCGGTGGTGTGCGCGGTGTCGCGAGACGTACGCCGCGCGCAGGCGCTTCCACACCGCGTCCGACGCCGCGTCGTCGTCGTCGTCGTCGTCGCCGAGGAATCCGGGAGCTGTCGTCGTGGATTTTGATTCGCCCGCGGCCGCGTGGAACCTCCCGAACGGCTCGCCGTATCGGTTGCTCTCCCACAGCGGCGGCCGGTACTTCGGCGGCGCCGCCGCGACGGCGGGCCTCTCCCCGGGTCGCGGTCCGCGCGTCGTCATGACCGCGCGCGGAGTCGTTCTGTGGGCTCGACGATAGTCTAATCTCGTCTATACCACGGAAAAAGCATTGACCGCGACGAACGGAAAAAAAAAGAGCACGACGGTCCCAGCCTGTCTCTCGCCGAAGACGAGGAGGCGCGCCAGAGATCCGCGCGCGAGGAGCGCCCGGCGCGATGAACATTCCAGGCATGCCCGGCATGGGCCGCATGGGCGGCCAGCCCGCGGGTCCCGCGGGGGACACCCCGCAGGTGGACACCGCGGAGAACGTCCAGATCTCGTCGCTCGCGCTTCTCAAGATGCTGAAGCACGGCGCGTCGCCCGCCGCGGATCCCTCGTCGACGTCGTCGTCTCCCCCGAGCGCGCGCGTCGTTCGCCTCGCGCGCCTTCGCGTCCTTCGCGCGCTCGGTCCGCGCGCGCCCTCGCGACGGTCGCGACGCCGCGATCGATCGACCCGAGGCGCGGTCGCGTCGCGTCGCGTCCGCCCGCGCGCGTCCCTCCGCGATCGCCGCAGATCTCGCGAACGTACCCCGCAACGGACGCTACGGACGCTTTCGTTTGAACCCGACCGACGAGATCCCCCCGCGCGATCCGATCCGATCCGATCGATCGTCCTCCTTCCTCCCCCCCGCGTCGCCCCCGCGCGCGTCCTGACTGACGTCCCTCCCCCACCCCGCGATCGTCATTCGCTCGTCGCGACAGGCCGAGCCGGCGTCCCCATGGAGGTGATGGGGCTGATGCTCGGGCAGTTCGTGGACGACTACACCGTGAAAGTCGTGGACGTGTTCGCGATGCCGCAGAGCGGCACCGGCGTCTCCGTCGAGGCCGTGGACCCGGTGTTCCAGACGAAGATGCTCGAGATGTTGAAACAGACGGGAAGAGAGGAGATGGTCGTCGGGTGGTATCACAGCCACCCCGGGTTCGGGTGCTGGCTCTCGGGCGTGGACATCAACACGCAGCAGGCGTTCGAGCAGTTGAACCCGCGGTTGGTGTCGATCGTGATCGACCCGGTGCAGTCCGTGAAAGGGAAGGTCGTCATCGACGCGTTCCGGTTGATCAACCCGCAGACGATCATGCTCGGGCAGGAGCCGCGGCAGACGACGTCGAACCTCGGACACCTGAACAAGCCGTCGATCCAGGCGTTGATCCACGGGCTGAACCGACACTACTACAGCATCAACATCTCGTACCGAAAGAACGAGCTCGAGGAGAAGATGCTCCTGAACTTGAACAAAAACAAGTGGTCCGAGGGGCTGCGCCTGGAGCGGTTCGATAAGCACGGCGAGAGCAACGAGAAGGTTGTCCAGGAGCTGAAGGGACTCGCGGATCGATACGAAAAAGCCGTCGCGGAGGAGGACGCGCTCACCGCGGCGGAGCTGCTCGTGAAGAACGTCGGGAGGCAAGACGCGAAGAAGCACCTCACGGAGAACGTTCGGAAGCTCATGAGCGATAACATCGTGCAGACGCTCGGGAGCATGCTGGACACGATATGCTTTTAAGCGAGCGGGGAGAGCGCGCGCGGAGAGGGAAGAGAGGGGTTTCGACGGAGCGTCGTCAGTCGACGACGACGCGACGAGGGTCAGCCGCGCCGTCGCGGGCGAGGCGAGGGCGCGTCTCGCGGCCGGCGCGGTGTTAATGATGAATCCAAATTAGTTTTACCAACCCGCGCGCGACTACTGATGATCTCCCCGGTCTGTGACCGCCGCACTACTCGAACACGTCGTCTACCTACTAGCCTTGATTCGCCTCAGAAGTCCTCTCGCATCTTGCTGCGCTTGAAAAGGTTTGACATCGAGATCGATTTGCTGCACGACTGAAACACCTTCACGGCCGCCCCGGCGTACAGAAAGAGCGCTAAGCATATGAAAGCAACGCCGACAAATAGCTGCATGTAGTAACTCGCCGGCATATAATGTTTCTGATCGGTCGTCACCGCGGTTACCGAGTGCAACCCTACCGCCATCCACAACGACGCGAAGACGACGAGGAATAATCCCTCCGTAAGGGAGGCCGGCCGCTGCTTCTCTTCGTCGTCGTCGGCGGCCCCGGCCTCGAGGTCGCGGTCGGGCCGCCCGTCTCCGTCGCGATCCGGGCGCCATGTCCCGAGGTCGTCCGGCAGCCCGGACTTGGTGGAGCCGTAGCGTTCCATGTGTGGTCGGGCGCGCGCGCGGCGGGGGGGCGCGGCGAGGGTTTGACCGCGATTGATTCTCCACGTGTCCGTCGCAAAATCGTCCGACTTTCCGACAGGACCAGCTGCTTTGACCGACCGCGCGCCAGGGGTCTCGGAGCCTCGGAGCGCGCGAGACTTGGCGCCTCGGAGACGACGACGTGACGTCGCCTCGCGTCCTCGCCGCGCGCGCCTCCTCCTCACTCGCCATGACGCGCCGCCGCGCGCCCCCCTCCCTCGCGCTCCGCGAGCTCCTCGCGCTCTTCCTCGCGCCGCTCCTCCTCGCCCCGACGCGCCCCGCGCTCGCGAAGACGTTCCCGTCCGAGGTGACGAAGCTCCTCGCGCTTCGAACCGAGCTCGAGCGCCGAGGGCTCGGCTACCTCCTCGAGACGTGGCGATGCCCGCCCGCGAGCTCCGGCGCGCCGTGCGACCCGTGCGGCGCGTCCTCCGGCGCGAGCGACTCGTGGGGCGACTGGCACTACGTCGCGTGCCGCGCGGTGCCGCTCCGCGAGCGCGTCGCCGCGGCGTCGCTCCCGGAGAACGGCGGAGTCGTCGACGCGTACGCGAACGACGTCGGCGCGTGGGGGCTCGTCACCAACGTCCACCTCTCCGACCTCGCCGTCGAGGGCACGCTCGCGGCGTTCGAGGAGACGCTGTGCCCGTTCGAGCACCTGCGGGAGCTGGACATGGACGGCGGGCGCCTGCGCGGGGAGGTGCCGGCGTTCATCGGACGGTGCTTCCCGCGCTTGACCGAGCTCGACCTGTCGCACAACGAGCTGAGGCGCGTCCCATGTCACACTGGTCCCCGTACGACCGCGTCGGCGTGGTGAACGCCGATCCTTGATGACTTTTCCCGGCGCATCTCTCCTCCCACCCCTCGGTTTCGATCCCCGCCCTCGACGCCTTTCAACTCCAACTCAACTGACGCCTTTCAACTCCACCCCGACGTCGCTTCGTACGGACCCTCGACCCTCAGCGGCGCCGTGCCCGCGGGCATATGGAAGGGGACGCCGGCGTTGGAGCAGGCCAAGCTCGAGGACAACCGACTCGTGGGGACCATCCCCGCGGAGCTCGCGTCGCTGCCGAGGCTGAAGGTGCTGTGGCTCGAGAAGAATGACCTGAGAGGGTCCATCCCGACCGCGTTCGGCGCCCCGGACGCGTTCGGCGGGTCGCTCGTCTCGTTCAACGTCGAGGATAACCCGAAGCTGTGCGGGCCCGCGCCTCCGGGGCTCGAGGTCGACTGGTCGTCGCAGCTCACGAGGGACGCGATCGAGGGCGCGTCGCGGGATTGGTTCGCGTTCTGCGAGAAGGACCCGTGCGGGGTCTTCGCGACCGGAGGGACGAAGGTCGGGACGCCGTGCGGCGACGACGACGACGGCGGCGGCGGCGCCGCCGCGTTTGAAGGCTGCGGGAAAAAGTGGGACCAGTGCGGCGGGACCGTCGAGGTGTTCACGTACGCCGACGGCGCGTTCGGCGACGACATGGGCGACGACGTCATCGCGAGGGAAGTCCCGTTCGAGGGCGAGACGTGCTGCCGCCGCGGGTTGAAGTGCGCGGAGATCGAGCCCGACGCCGACGACCCTCCGAGGCGTCCCGGCGCGGCGCTTTTTTTTCAGTGCGTCCCGGACCCCGACGCCGAGGTGCCCGAGCCCAAGACGGTCGTCCCGGCGACCGCGCGCGAGGCCTTCCGCGCCGCGAACGGCGCGGATACGTCAAAGTGCGCGCCCGCGTGGGCGCAGTGCGGCGGTCCCGCGTCGTACTTGGGGTCCACGTGCTGCCAGGGCGCCGCGAAGTGCGTCCGCGTGTCGCCGTTTTACTCTCGGTGCGATCCGACGTCGTGCCTCCCCGCGTTTGAGCCCGGGGACCGGTGCGGCGGCCGCGGTTGGGACGGGCCGACGTGCTGCTACGAGGGCTTGGAGTGCGTCGCGAGGAACGCGTCCGCGCACGTGTGCGTGAAGAACACGACGACGAACGCGGAGACGTACGCGCGCGACGTGAAGACGTGGAAGCTCGTCGCGGAGAAGAAGACGACGGCGAAAGTCCTTAAGGATCGGCGTTCACCACGCGAACGCGGTCGTATGGGGACCAGTGTACAGAACGCACCGGACGCGCCGCGGACCGTCGCGGACGAGCCCGAGACGCCCGCGGACTGGGCGGAAGCCCCGGACGCGCGAGATCGAGATCGAGGCGGGCGCGGAGGCGGAATTGTCGGACTGGACGACGTCGTCTTTGACCTGCCGTCGATGGACCCGGCGCCGGCGCCGTTCCGTCCCGCGCCGACGACGGACCCTCCGCCGCCGCCGCCGCCGCCGTCGACGCCTCGCGTCGGTTCCCCGCCGCCTCCGTCGCCGCCGGCGGCGGCGGCGACTCTCGCGTCGCCTCCGCCGCCGCCTCCTCCACCTCCGCGTCCAGCGCCGACGCGCGGCGACTGCGGGGTCACGATCCCGACCTGGGGACAGTGCGGCGGCGTCCTGTTCGACGATTTCTTCCCGGGGCTCCGCGACGCGTGCTGCGAGCGCGGCTCCGCGTGCGTGACCCAGGACAGGTGGTACTCGCAGTGCTTGCCCACCGACGACGACGCTCGCGTCGCCCGCGCGAATGGCGGCGGCTCGGGGGGCGTTACGCCGCCCTGCGCGGAGACCTACGGCCAGTGCGGCGGGAGAGAACACGCCGGCGCGACGTGCTGCGCGAACGACGGCGACGACTGCGTCGAGCAGGACGAGTGGTACTCGCAGTGCCTTCCCGAGGGCGCGGGCGCGGGCGCGGGCGCGTGCGCGAGCACGTACGGTCAGTGCGGCGGCGCCGAGTTCGACGGCGCGACGTGCTGCGCGAACGACGGCGACGACTGCGTCGAGCTGGACGAGTGGTACTCGCAGTGCCAGCCGAGGGGGCGGTGAGGGTGGACGTCACCGAAAGTCGAAATTCGATTCACACGTTTCTGTTGCTATTTCGCGAAACGCTCGCGCGCGCTTCGCGCGACTCGTTCTTCAAGACTCGTACTTCTTCTCGACCATGCAGTCCGGCGGCTTGCACTCCGTCCTCTCCTTCCCGATGTCCTTCCAGCTCGTGGACAACACCGTGCCGTTGCTCTCTTGAAAACTCTTGTTCATCGCCCGCCGCGTGTCTTCGTCCGCGTTTTCGTAGATGCCCTTGAACATCCGGTTCAACGCGGCGTCCCCCTCGAGATCCTCCTCTTTTTCCTCCTTCTTGAGGTCAGACTCGAGCTTATCCCAGTCCGTCTGCTTCTTCAAGTTCGCCGCCTTCGACGACGGGTACGACGGCCGCTGCATCCCCTCGTCGCTGACGTTATTCGGCCGCGTCGCCTCCGCGTTCCTTCGCGCCTCCGCGCCCAAATCGTCCCAAGTGATGGCCTCCGCCTTCTTCATCTTGATCTCCAGCTTCGTCGCGAGCACCTGCCCTCTGCTCTCCTCCGGCACCACCTTGCCGAACAGTGGAACGTCCAGGACGTACGGAATGTTCCCGAGCGGGTCGTCGTCCGCGTGCTTCACCGTCACCGTCACTCTGTCTTCCTGCACGTCCACGAAGGACGCATGCTCGGGGACGCCTGCGGTGAGGGCGATTCCATGCGGTCAGTTGAAAGGGGACGCGATGAAATGTTGAAACCGAGGGACGGGTGAAAAACGTTGCTGTAACGACGCACCTTTCGCCATGATCTCGATGGTGACGTGCGACCCGGACTGGTACCACTGGTGCTTGTACCTCGGCGCTCGCGTCGCGTCCTTAATCGTCGCGTCCGGGCCCTCGCGCTGCTTCGCGTCCGCGAGCCGCTCCTCTAAGATGCGCTCCTCGCAGCGCGCGATCCACGTCTTGAACGCCGCGTGTTTCGGGTCTAACGTCTGACCGATCGTGAACGCCGCCCTCGCCGGGTCGTACCGCTCGAGCTCGTACAGCGCCATGCCCTTCCGCAGGTACGCCTTCGGGTTCTCGTGGTCCAAGCTCAGCGCTTTCATCGCGTCCGACAGCGCGTCTTCGAAGCGATCGAGCTTCAAGTTCACGGCGCTTCGGTGGACGTGCGCGGCGACGTGCTCGGGCGACTGCTCGATCAGCGTCGTGTAGAGCTTTCGAGCTTCGTCGTAGTCCTCGTCCACGAACGCTTCCATGGCGTCGGACACGAGCTTCGGGTCGGGGTCGGACATCGCGCCGACGGCCGGGGGGGTGGGTTGGCGGGGTGCGCGCGTGCGTGAGGATTTGAGAGGGTGCGCGCGCGCGGCTTATGATCCTTCGAGAAACTTCCTTCAACGTGAAGTCTCAGTTTTCCGTCGATCTGATTCTTCAGTGGGCACGCGCGCGCGAACCGTCGGAGGCACGCCCGCGGGCGCCGGGGAGCGCGCTCGGCCGCGTCCCCGCGTCTCCGCGCGATGGCGCCGCAGATGCGACGGCGCGCCGCGGCGGCGGCGGCGGGCGCGTCGGCGGACGCGGCGGCCGCGATCCCAGGGCGAGGAAGGCGCGCGCGAAGTCGAAGTCGGCATCTTCGCGGCGTGACGCGCGCGGAGCGTTGGCTCGACGCGGACACCGTGGAGTTCACGATGCGCCGGTCCGAGCTCGACGCCGTCTTCGCATCGCGCGCGCCGCTGTGGACGCTCTGCGCGTGCGTCGCCCTCGCGCGCGCGTCGGCGTCTCCCGCGGGGACGACGCCGTCCGACTCGACGGGGACGGGGATGGGGACGGGGACGGGGACGGGGACGGGGACGGAGGATCCGAGACGCGCGCGCGTCGTCGCGCTCGCGCTCGCGCTCGCGTTCCTCGCGCTCGCGACGCGCGCGTTCCTGAGACGCGTGACGCGCGAGACGATCCTCGCGACGCGCGGCGTCGGCGCGCGCATCTCCGCGAACCGCGGCGGCGGCGACGCGCGCGTCCTCGAGCTCCGACGCGGTCTGCGGGACGTGCTCGTGAACGAGGCGGCGACGTCCTCGACGGTGTATTCTTACCTGTGTTTCCGCGTCCGACGCGACTCCTCTGGGACGGGGGCGGGGGCGGCGGGGGAGAGAGACGAGCTCGTGGTCGGATTTAAGGCGCTGCGGCCGCGTCTGGAGCTCTTGCGGAGGGTGTACGCGGTGACGCACGGGGTTTTATTCGGCGACGGGGAGGAGGGCGAGGCGGAGGCGGAGAGCGAGGAGGAGGAGGCGGAGAGCGTGGAGGAGGAGGAGGAGGAGGAGGGCGGCGTCGACGTCGTCGAGGAACGTCGCGCCGCCGCCGCGGAAGGACCAACGCGCGGGCTCGGGTGGTGGGGCCACGGCGACGCGTGGGGCGGCGACGGTTCGTGTCTGTACGGCCCGTGGAACGCGAACGGACGCGACGCGGACGTCGCGCGCGCGCGGCGACAGAGCGTCTTGTTCGTATGCGATTTCTTCCCCCCGCGCTCGGGCGGCGTCGAGACGCACCTCTACTCGCTCGCGCAGCGGCTCATCACGCGCGGGCACAAGGTCACGGTCTTGACGCACGCGTGCGGGGACCGGCACGGCGTCCGGTACGTCTCCGGCGGTCTGAAGGTGTACTACGCCCCGCGAAGGGCGGTGTACGAGGGATGCACGTTTCCCTCGTTGTTCGGAGGGTTCTTTCCGCTGCTCAGGTGCGTGTTGATTCGCGAGCGCGTCACGGTCGTGCACGCGCACACCGCGTTCAGCGTCATGGCGCACGAGGCCGTGCTGCACGCGCGGACGATGGGGTACAAGTGCGTGTTCACGGACCACTCGCTCGCGGGCTTCGACAGCGCGGCGTCGATACACGTGAACAAGTTCCTCTCCATGACGCTCGCGGATTGCGCGCACGTGATTTGCGTCTCGCACACGGCGAAAGAGAACACGGTGTTGCGCGCTTCCGTTCCCCCGGGACGCGTGTCCGTGATCCCGAACGCGGTCGACGCCGCGCGGTTTAGACCGGACGCGAGCGCGCGCGATGCGACCGGCCGCGTGACCGTCGCCGTCGCCGCGCGTCTGACCCACCGAAAAGGCAGCCACCTGCTCGCCGCGACGATCCCTCTCGCGTGCGCGTCGTTCCCGCGCGTGGACTTTCTGATCGCCGGCGACGGGCCGATGCGCGCGGATCTCGACCGGATGATCGCGCGCGAAGGTCTGAGCGGACGGGTGCGGATGTTAGGGACGGTCCCGCACGCGAAGATCAGCGAGGAGGTGTTACGGAGATCGCACGCGTTTCTGTCGTGTTCGCTCACGGAGAGTTTCGGCGTCGCGATGCTCGAAGCCGCGTGCTCGGGGTGTCTCGTCGTCGCCACGAACGTCGGGGGCGTCCCGGAGGTTTTGCCTCCGGACTTGCTGTTCCTCGCGGAGACGGACCCCGGGGCGATCGTGGACGCGCTGTCGGACGCGCTCGACGCGTTGGGGGGTCCGGGCGGCGGCGGCGGCGGCGGCGGCGGCGACGGCGGCGGCGGAAGACCCGATTCCGGTTCCGATTCCGTCGTCGACCCCGTCGCGATCCACGAGCGCGTCGCCGCGATGTACAGCTGGGACGACGTCGCGGCGAGGGTAGAGACCGTCTACGAGCGCGCGCACGCGACGCGCGACACCCTGTACGGTCGCGTGCGCCGACTGCAGCGGTGCGGCGTCGTCGCCGGCGTCGTCTTCGTCGTCGTCGCGGCGGTGGATTATCTGTACTGGCGCGCGTTAGAGCTGGCGCGGCCCGCGCGCGACGTCGAGATCGCCCCGGACTTTGTCCCGGACGACGGCGCGTTCGACGTCGTCCGCGGGACCGGCGGCGAGGAGGAGGAGGAGGAGGAGGAGGAGGAGGAGGAGGACTAGTTTAGGCATAGCGACACTCTCTGGTGAGAAAAAACACCAGGCTGTCTTTTAGCCGTTCATGTCACGCGCACCAGAAGACGTTCGACGTCGTCCGAGGGCCCGCCAGACCATCACGCGCGCTCTCTCGACGACCGCGCCGTCACGATGAACCCCGAATACGATTACCTCTTCAAGCTCCTGGTGCGTCCTCGAGCCGCGCCCGTGGCGTGATTCCGCGTCCCGCGCGGCGTCGTCGACGTCGCGACGGCGTGCGATCCGCAGATCGCCGCGCCCCCGCGCCGCGCGAAACATCTTCCTGACGTCCTCCCTCCCCCTCCCCGCCCACCTTCCGCGTCCTCCTCCGCAGCTGATTGGTGACTCCGGCGTCGGCAAGTCGTGCCTCTTGCTGCGCTTCGCGGTACGTCTACGCTCCGTTCGCGCGGCCGCGCCCACATCCGCGCTCGCGTCTCCCCCGCGCGGCCGCTGACGTCGCCGTCCGTTCCCTCCCTCCCCTCGCCGCAGGACGACACCTACACGGAGAGCTACATCTCCACCATCGGCGTGGACTTCGTGCGCGCCCGCCCGCCCTCCCTCTCCCTCGATCGTCCCTCGATATCCCGCCGCGACCTCTCGAGAACGTCGAGCGCGTCGCGCGCGCGCGGGGCGCGCCGCGCGTCGCCGCGCTCGCGCCGCCCGCGTGCCAGATCTCCGCGAGATCGCGCGAAGAGCGGAAGAACGAGGCGACGCGCGGCCTCCGAGGGAAAGGGCACCCGGCGGGAGAGGAATAATCATTCGTTCGCTCGACGCGCGCCTCTTCTCTCCTCCCGATCCGCGCCGCCGACCGACCCATCGCTGACCTTCGCGTCGCTCCCGTCCTCCTCCCACCCCCCTCGCGACGTCCCCTCCGCAGAAAATCCGCACCGTGGACCTGGAAGGCAAGACCGTGAAGCTCCAGATCTGGGACACCGCGGGCCAGGAGCGGTTCCGCACCATCACGTCGTCGTACTACCGAGGCGCGCACGGCATCATCGTCGTGTACGACGTCACCGACCAGGAGAGCTTCAACAACGTGAAACAGTGGCTGAACGAGATCGATCGGTACGCGAACGAGAACGTCAACAAGCTTCTCGTCGGGAACAAGAGCGACCTCACCGCGAAGAAGGTTGTCGACTACCAGACGGCGAAGGCGTTCGCGGACGAGATTGGCATTCCGTTTTTAGAGACGTCGGCGAAGAACGCGACGAACGTCGAGGAGGCGTTCATGAAGATGGCGGGTGAGATCAAGAACCGGATGGCGTCGCAGCCGGCTCTGAACAACGGGCCGAAAGGGGCGACGGTGCGGCCGGGGGAAGGGCGGCCGGTGAACGCGAACAAGAGCAACTGCTGCTAGACGCGGGGAGGACTGGGGGGAAGATTTTTGTTCGACGGAAAAAAAAAAGGGACCGCTCGCGGAGAAGGAAGCGCGCGCGCGCGCGCGCTCTCCCTTGTTTTATATGATTTTTTTGTCGGTTGATCTCGATGTGGTGCGGCGTGTGCGTGCCCTCGTTCACGTCGTCGCGTCCGTCGCGCTTGGCGCTGTGCTATGATGCGATGCGCGCGGCGTCTTTGTGACCGCCGCGCCCCGGCGCCCCGGGCGTTTTTTCCTCACTCAGCCTTCGCGCGCGCCCCTCCCTCGGAGTCACGCCGCGGCGATCCTTCTCGCCTTCCTCGGCGGTTTCTTCCCCCTCTCTCGCATCTCGCTCGGGGAGACGTACGACGCGGTCCTCCACGCGGGCGACGTCGCGGCGTCGTCGGGGACGTTGGCGGGCTTCGCCGCGGGCTTCGCCGCACCCGCCTTGGCGTCGTCTTCCGCGAACCGCTTCCTCAGCGCGCTCTGGAGCCACCCCTTGTTGTTGCTCGTCGTCGGGCGCTGAAACACGACCGCGTACAGGTTCTTGAGGTCCCTGTACGCCATGTTGTCCACGTCCGGGCGCGCGTCGGTCGACGTCGCCGTCGCGGCGACGGCGACGGCGACGGCGACGGCGGCGGCGGCGGCGGCGGCGGCGAACGCGGGCTTCTTCGCGGGGGGGAGCTTCTTCGCGGGCGTGCTTCGCGCGCGTTTTTTCCCGCCGCCCCCCGTCGGCGTCGCGCCGCCGTCGCTCGTCGCGGCGTCGAACTCGTCTTCGTCCGGCCACTGCAGCCGGAGCTTCGAGAGCGTCGCCATCGCGACTTTCTCCGTGTCCCTCGTCGGCGGCGACTCCTCGGCGCGCGCGCCTCGCGCGTCGGCCGCCGCGTCAGCGGAGTCGTCTTCAGCCGGCGTCGCGAAGAGCGGCGCGCGTTTGAACGGCAGGTCGCACCGCGGGCACCGCGCGTCCTCGCGCGCGCATCGACAGACGCGGTCGTCGGCCGCGCTCGGCGGCGGCGCCGCGCGCGCGCCGACGACGACCGTGATTCCGGTCCCGAGCCGCCGCGACGGCGTCGGGCCCCACGGCGTGCCGGACGCGCGTCGCGCGAGCGACCCCGGCCGCGGTCCGCTCGCGCGCGGCGTCGAGTCGGAGAGCCCGGCGCTCGCGGGGAACGAGACGCGCGCGGCGTGCGCGAACGGCGTCCGCGCGCTTCGCATCGTCGCGTCCGGCGTCGGCGTCGGACGCGTCGAGGGAGGAGGCGCGCCGCCGCCGCCGCCCGCGGAGGCGAGCGCGCGCGACGCGAACGAGAGGGGGAGCCGGTTCGTGAGGCACGTCCCGAACGCGCGCGGGGAGTCCGCGGGAGGGAGTCCGAGGAGTCCGAGCGGCGCGGGCGTCATGGGGAACGTCACGCCCGGCGCGAGCGGCCGCGACGGGTCCGCGATGAAGAACGGCGTGCGCGGCGGGGGGGGCGACATCGCCGGGGTGGGGGGAAGCGCGCGGGGGGAAGTGCGACGACGCGGAGCGCGGGCCTTTTTGAAATACGACGAGAGAGCTCAGCGGGAAAAATTCAAACAGACTTGAAGTCGTCGTTCGCTCTTACACACAGGTATCGCATCGTACAGTACTCGCACACACACACGCACTCGACCGCGCGCGCGCTCGTGTCACAGCTTCGAGGCGCCGCGCGCGCCGCCCTCGCGCGTCTCACCCCCGACCCACCGGTCCACGGTCGCGTCGACCACCACCCTCGCGGCTTCGTACGCTTCGAACCACGCCGCCTCCCACGCCGCGGCGCCCTTCGCGCCTCTCTCCTCCGCCCTTCGCAGCGCCCTCTGCAGCGCGTGCACGGCGTCGTACTCTCTCCTCGTCGTCCCGCGCGGCAGCGCGCCGCGCGTCGCCGCGCGCTTGACGCGATCGCGCGCGACTTTCATCATCAACACCCGGCTGTCTCCCTCCGCGAATTTGCAGCACTGGAGAAAATCCGTGTGCTCGAACCCGGTGCCCGCCATGAGCGCGTACGACCCAACCTCTTGCCGCAGCCGGTGCGTGAACGCGATCGCCTCGTCCACGGCGACGATCTTCGCGGCGGCGACGGCCTCCACGAGATCGACCGACGGCCGCGTGGACGCGCGCAGCGTCGCGCAGAGCGCCTTCTCGACCTCGCTCAGAAATTTTCCCGTCCGCGCTTCGCTGTCATCCGCCTCGACGTACAGCGCCCGCAGTTGCGGGACGCCGCTGAGCACGAGCGTCGTCTTCGCGCTGTGCGAGCCCCCGCCGGGGGCCCAGCACGGCTTCTCGTCCGTGACGCCTCGCGTGCGCGCGAAGAGGCGCTTGCGGAACTCGTGCGCGCCCTGCGCGACGGCGACGCGCCCGGTGAAGAGCCGCTGAGGGGCGGAGGGAGTTGAAAAGGCGGAGGGAGTCGAAAGGCGTCAGACGGAGTTGAAAGGCGTCGAGGTCGAACGTTGAAACCGCGGGATGGGCGGAGAGAAACGCGCGACGCGGGCAAAGTCAAGTCCTAGAAGAACGAACGGCGCGCGCCGCGCGAACCAGCTGGGGACCAGCGCATACATACGCGAGATAAACGCGCCTGACCGATGCGTTCCATGTTGGAAGCCGGCGCGCCGTCGCCCTTCGCGCCGTACACCCCCCGTCCCGTCGCGTCGTCCCTCCGCACGTCGCAGTGCTTATCCAGGAGCGCACTCCGCGGGATGATCACGTCGTCGAACGCGATGGACGCGTTGTCCAGGTCGTTCCCGGTCGTCTTCGTCCCCATGTCCGTCAGCGTGATCCCCCGCGACGGCGGCGCGTCTGAGTCTCGCCGCAACGCGATCAAAAACGCGTGCGGCCCCGTGCTCGCGCCGTCCACGATCAGATCCGCCACGACGACCGCTCGCGTCGCGGTGAGCCCCTGCGAGATCCAGTTCTTCGTCGCCCCCGCGTGCGGCGTGCGCAAGACGAACGCGTCGGCGGTCGGGTCGTACGTCGCCGTGGTCTGCACGACGAGCCCGGAGTTGACCCCCGCGAGTCGCTCCGTGAGCGCGAAGCATCCCAAGGTTCCGTCGCGACGCATGCGCGTGAGCTCCTCGAGATGCGTCTCGGAGCCGAGCTCTAGTATCGTCCCCGCGAAGAGGTTGAACTGCACCGTGAATCGGATGCTGAACCCCGGGCCTTGCTCGAACCCGTGCTCGACGAGGAGGCGATGGGCGAGGAAGAAGCGGTCCGGGCGCGTCTTGAGATCCGTGAATTCGAGCAGCCCGGAGCGCGCGAGCGCGCTGAGCCTGGACGCGGACTCGCGCGGGGACGACGCGGGCGTCGCGAGGAGAGACGCGAGCGCGGGGACGTACGCCGCGCGCCACGCGTCGTCGTCGTTCAAGTTGATCGGGAGGGCGGCGGCGAGGACTGGGGGCTTTGGCGCGTTGTTGACTTCTCCTCCTCCGACGCGTCGTTTCGGAGACGACGACGTCGTCCGGGCGCCCGGCGGATTCGGGACCGGCGCCGGCGCGTGCGTCGCGTCGAACGCGCCCACGCTCGGCATGCCGTCTTTCTTTGTGACGAGAGAGCGCGAGGAAGGACGCGGATGAGGACTCGGGGTCGCGTCGCGTGCGGCGCGCGACGCGGTGTGCGACGGGCGCTCCGAGCATGCTGACTCGACACCTCCTGGATTTTCCGAGGTCTCGAAACTGAACCGCCCCGCCCCTTGGTGAGGTTCTTTTACGGGCGCGCCTATGCCTATCGCTACCTACTAGTCTAACGTCTACGCGTGCTCATACGCCCTGTCCTCGTCGTCTCCCCCCCCCGCGGCGAGTGCGGCGTCCCTGCGCTCCCTCGCCGCGACGACGTCCATCCACCCGGACGCTTTCCCGCGCTGCTTCTCCGCGACGAGACCCTCGGCGCCGGCGCCGGCGCGGTGCTCCGCGGCGCCCCACCCGCCGTCGCCGCACAGCTGTGCGCCGCCGTCCCTCCTCACCGCGAACGACGTCCTCGGCTTCGTCGTCGCCGCGACGACCGCGGCCTCGATCTCCGCCGGCGTCGCGCGCCTGACCCCCTTCCGTCGCGCCGCGCGCTCCTCTTTCGTCTCCTCCATGGACGCGTGCTTCCACGGACGCGCGGACGCGCGATCGAACGGGGCGGGTTTTTTCAACTCCGCCGCCGGCGCCGCCGCGTCCGGGGTCTCCGCCTCCACGTCCTCGTCGCTCGACGCCGCGGACGTCGTCGACGCGAACCGACTGAACACGTTCCCTCCGCGCGTCCCGCTCCCGCGGCGCGGCTCGGGGTCGTCGTTCTCGTCGTTCGCTTCGTTCGCTTCGTTCGCTTCGTTCGCTTCGTTCGCTTCGTTCGCTTCGTCGCCGTCGCCGTCGCCGGCGCCGCCGCGTCGCGCCGCCGCCGCGCGCGCGGCCGCCCTCGTCTCGCGCCCGATGACCCCGCACCCGACCCACCCGCTCCTCCCACCGCTCTTCAACAGCGCGGCGCGGAGCTCGCGAGGGTCGTCGTACCCGTCGCCGCCGACGGAGACGAACCGCGGCGCCGTCGGCGTTCGCGTCGTCGGCCAACGATCGCTCGCGTCCCACGGCGCCGGCTGCGCGGACGACGCGATCGGCTCGTCGTTCGCGCCGAGCTTCCCGGTCACCGCGTCCCACAGGCCGCGCTCGCGCGGTCGCGGGCGCGACTCCAGCGCGGACGGCGGGTCGCGCGCGAGGAGCGCACGACGCGCGTTCGCGGCGGCGAGGTCCCCCGCGTCCGCCGGCGCCGCGCGGTCATCAAATCTCGCGAGCGGATCTGTCCGCTCGCCCCCGATGCGCGCGTCGAACGCGTCGAGCTTCTTGCGCTGGAAGTCGATTCGACGCGCGCGCTCGCGCCGCGCGTCCGCGCGCGCGTGGGCCGCGAACGGCGACGCGGGGTCCATCCCGGTCCCGGGGCGTGGACCGCGCGACGCGCAGTGGCTCGCGGTCGTCGCTCACCACTTCAACGACTGGAACGGAAACTTCGGAAGCACCGATCGATTCCGCATTGTACCTCGCCGCGCCCGTCATGCGACGCGCGCTTCACGTCGCCGCGGCGACGTGCGCGGACCGCGCTCGCGCCCACACCGGTCGCGTCGCGCTGCACGACCTCGCGCGTCGCGACGCGCGCCTTCGCTGGTCGTCGTCGTCGTCGTCGTCGTCGTCGTCGTCGTCGTCGTCGAGCGCGCGCGCGATCCTCCGAGATTCCGGAAGAGGGTTCGCGTCCGCCGCGGACCTGACGCACGTCGACGCGTCCTCCGGGGACGCGACCATGGTCGACGTCGGGGACAAGCCGATCACGACGCGCGTCGCGACCGCGTCCGCGAAAGTCTTGCTGGGAAAACGCGCGTTCGACGCCGTGCAAAAGGACGGCGTCGTCGGCAAAGGGAACGTCCTCGCGGTCGCGCAGATAGCTGGCATCAACGCCGCGAAGCGCGCGTCGTCGCTGATACCGCTGTGCCACACCCTCCTCCTGCACAAGGTGTCCGTGGACTTCACGCTGCACCCGGGTGACCACTCGGTGCGCGTGCTAACGAGCGCGAAGACGGACGGGCGGACGGGCGTGGAGATGGAGGCGCTCACGGCAGCCGCCGTCGCGGGATTGACCGTGTACGACATGTGCAAAGCGCTGAGGTGCGTTCTATACAAAAGTTTTTCACCCATTGTCCGGTTTCAACATTTGATCGTGTCCCATTTCAACTGACCGGTGAACTTGTTTTGTATGGAACGGCCCTCAGCAAGGACATCGTGTTGAGCGACGTTCGGTTGGAGTCGAAGAGCGGGGGGGTGANCTCGGGGGATTACGTCCGCGGGGGGGGTGGGGGCGGGTCGTCGTGAGCGAAGGAGTGCGTACTGTACTGTAGTCGTCGACAGAGCGGAGGCGAGAGCGCGCGCGTCGTGCGCGTCCGCCGCGTCCTTCGTCGGTTGTTAGTTCTCTCGAGACGTAACAACTTACGAGTACTCGTAAAGTTATTAAAAAGGATTGTCGAACTTCTTCATCACCGCGGGGATGTCCACCGTGAGCACCTCCTCGAGCGCCTTCATCGCTTTCTTGTCGATCTTCGGGAACTTCCAGATCTCCATGTCCTTCATGATGTCTCTGAACCGTTTCGGGTTCGGAAGGTCCCCGCGCGCGATCGTGTACTCGTGCACGCACTTGGTGAACTCCTCCTCGATCCTCCCCAAGAGCTTCTTCTGCTTGCTCTCGTGCCCCATCATCGCGGGCATCTGCTTCTTCAGGTGCGTCACGATTCGCGCGTGCGTCAGCGCCGCGCGCACGCGCTTGACGAACTCGTTCACCTTCCTATCGCACGACCGCTGAGGGATGTCGAGCAGGTCCTTCTTCAGCGCCTCGTGCTCCTTCATGAAGAGCTCCTCCCCCAGGACGTTGTTGGTCGTCACCGGGGGCTTATCGTTGAACGAGCCGACGTACACTTTGCACACCTCCGGGGTCATGAACACCTTCCCTAACGACCACATCAGCGCGCCGTACACGCGCATGAGCTGCTGCGCGCTGACCTGGTCCGCCTTGTTGAGGACGACTCGCACTTTATCGTCGTGCCCACGCAGAGACGAGATGACGGCTTTAAACTCGTCCGAGATGTCGAGCTTGTGCGGGTCGAACAGCAGCAAGATGACGTCCGACCTCGACGCGAACCACTCGCAGACGTTCACGAACGAGTACCCGCGGTCGATCCGCTGCTTTTCCCCGGACAGCACCCCGGGGGTGTCCACGATGGACACCTCCTCCAAGATTTTCGCGTCGCACTGCGACGCCTCAAACTTGGACAGAAAGCTCGAGCCGAACGCGGTGAGTCCCGTGTACGGCTTGTCGCTCTGCACCGCGAGCGTCTGCCCGGGCGTCGTCCGGTTCTCGTGCCCGTGCATGACGACGACGAACCGATCCGTCGTCGGCTCCGGTCCGATGTTCGACCCGGGGTAATCCCTCCCCAGCAGGTGCTTGATGAACGTCGTCTTCCCCGTGCTGTACTGCCCGAGGAGCAGCACGTTGGGCTTCCCTTCGAAGTCGCCGTCGGTGAGGAGCGGGGAGTAGAACGACCCAAACTTGAGCGCCTCCTCGACGGGGCGCACCTTGGTCTTGTACAACTCCTTGAGCGAGTCCACGATCGACGTCGCGGTCTTCGCGCTCATGCGGTTCTTCTTCCCGTGGTTCCCGTTCGCCGCGTCTCTCTCCGCCGCGCGCTGCTTGTTCATCGCTTTGGGCCGTTCCACGCGAGCGAACGTCGGGGTGGAGTTCAAAGGCGTCAGTTGGAGTTGAAAGGCGTCATAGGGGCGGGGATTGAAAGCGAGGGACCCTGGGCGGAGAGAGACGACGGCGAAAGTCCTTAAGGATCGACGTTCACCACGCCGACGCGGTCGTATGGGGACTAGTGTGAGATAGAACGCGCCTTTGTCCTTCTGCACCTCGTGCTGGATCGACTCCAGGCGGTTCGTGTACCCGGTCGCGTCCACGCCCTCGAGCTTCGCGAGCGGGAGCGGCTCTCCCTTGTTGGCGTCGTCGTCGTCGTCGTCGCGCGCCATGAACGCCGCGAGGGCGTCCGCGGTGATGGACTTGGCGTCCGCGCCGCCGCTGGCTGACTGCGCCATGGCGATGACGCGCAGCGCCTTGACGAACTGCTCGGGTCCGAGAAATCCTTGCCGGTTCGCGTCCGCGAGCTGCCACACCCGGGCGAGTATCTCCTTCGGGAGCCCGCTGCGGCCGAAGAATCGGACCGCGTCCGCGCCGGTGACGCGGCCGTCCGCGTCGTCGTCCGCGAGGGGGAACCATCCGCGGTACAGGACCTCGTCCGGCCTCCAGTTGGCGTGACTTCCCATCTTGTTTTTCTCCGCGCGCGCGATCGGAGGCTTCTCGTCTTCTTCCGCGCGCGGCGCGTCGCGCGACGGCGGCGCTTCCGCCGGGGTGTCGCGCGCGGGCGCGGTCGCGGCCGCTTCGTCTGCGGTGTCGTCCTCGCGCGGGGTCGACGCGCTCGATGACATGCGACGGCGAGCGAGGCGCGTCGAGGAGTGCCGCGGACGCGGAGACGAACGAGCAGACGACTTTAAAAAAACCTCGGACGACGTCAACTCGCCACTTGGCCGTTCGTCGAGGCGACGCGAGCGGGCAGCGTGGGGACTTCGCAACGCGCGCGCGCACGACGTCACGCGCGCGAGGTCGCGTCGCGGTCGCGAACGCGGTCTTCCCCGCCGGTCGAGATGAGCTACTCGTGCGTCCCGCGCGAGTTCCCCCCGCGAACCCGCGTCGACGCCGCGCGCGATCTCGGCTCGGCGCGCGGGGCGGGCACCCTCGGAATCGTTCGTTCGCTCGTCTTCGCGCGCTCCGACGAAAGACGCCTGACGCGCCCCCTTCCTTCGTTCCTCCTCCCCGCGCCGCAGGTACCTGTTCAAGTACATCATCATCGGCGACACCGGCGTCGGGAAGTCGTGCCTCCTGCTGCAGTTCACGGACAAGCGGTTCCAGCACGTGCACGACCTCACGATCGGCGTCGAGTTCGGCTCGAGGCTGGTGGCGATCGGAGAGAAGCAGATCAAGCTTCAGATTTGGGACACCGCGGGTCAGGAGTCGTTCCGTTCCATCACGCGGAGTTACTACCGCGGCGCCGCGGGCGCGCTGCTCGTGTACGACATCACGCGACGCGACACGTTCGAGCACCTCACGTCCTGGCTCGAGGACGCGCGGCAGCACGCGAACCCTAACATGACCGTCACGCTCGTCGGCAACAAGAGCGACGCGGAGGTGCGTTCTTCTCACACTGGTCCCCATACGACCGCGTTGGCGTGGTGAACGCCGTTCCTTAAGGACTTTTCCCGGCGCATCTCTCCGCCCAGGGTCCCTCGGTTTCAATCCCCGCCCTCGGCGCCTTTCAACTCCAACTGACGCCTTTGAACTCCACCCCGACGTTCGCTTGTATGGAACGACGCGCAGGCGTCGCGCGTCGTGTCGACGGAGGAGGGCGAGGCGTTCGCGCGCGAGCACGGGCTCGCGTTTCTGGAGACGAGCGCGCAGACGAGCGAGGGCGTGGAGGAGGTGTTCACGTCCACGGCGGCGGCGATATGCGCGAAGATCGACGACGGGCTGGACGTGAACAACGAGAGCAACGGGATCAAGCCAGGGTACGGCGGCGCGAGGGGCGGCGGGATTCGATCCGGCGGCGGCGGCGTCGTGGACGTGGGCGTGCAGCCCGCGCGGCGGAGCGAGGGCGGGTGCTGCTGACGCTGACGACGCGGGGCCCAAGGGAGGGGAGGACGCCGCGTCGCGCGCGGCGCGGGCGTTGGAGTGGAGGAGGTGCTGTTGTAAAATCGTAGTACATCTCTCGTCGTCGCCGTCGCGCGAGCGCCCTCCAAAGAGTCTCTTCAAAAGTCGGCTCTGCTCTCTCTTCGTCTCGCTCGAGAAAACTCCTGTCCAGCTGGACTCGCGGTCTTCCGTCCCCGCGCGCCGCCGCAGAGAGACGCGCGCGGGCTGGTGATGTCCTTTAACCGAGCGCGCGTGAGCCCGGAGGTCGCGAGCGCGGCGTACTACCTGTGCTTCGGCCTCCCCGTCGCCGCGTTCGGGGCGAAGATGTACAGCGTGTACGCCCCCGCCGAGCGGTGCGTCGGCGCGCCGCGATCGGTCGATCGACGCGACGCGATCGGCGGAGTGCCCACGCGACGACGCGTCCGCGTTTCCTCCGTCGGCGATCGTTCGTTCCTCGCCGTCGTCGTCCGCCCGCGCTCGCATCGCTGACGCGCCCGTCTCTCATCGTCCGCTCGTCCCTCCCAGAAGCGATCCCCCGCCGACGCCGCCCGCCGCGACGAAGTGAGCGCGCGCGCGATAGACGATAGCCACGTAGACGAACCGATCGATCGAACGATCGCGGTGCCAACCGTCATGTTGTCCTCCGCGGCGCGCGGCAGAGCCATCGCGGCGGCGTCGACCGCGCTGACCGGCGGCTTCCTGTATTGGGACGCCACGGACGAGCGCGGCGGCGTCGGCGTCACGCGCGCGGTCGCCGCGACGTCCACCGCGGCGCTCATCGTGATGGATTACAAGCTCACGCTCCGAGGGTTACCGAAGGACTCGAAGCAATTCGTGGACGCGCGCGACGGCGTGCACGAGCGCGCGGCGGCGCGGCTTCTCACTCTGTGCGAGCGCAACGGAGGCTTATACACGAAAGCCGGGCAGTTCATATCCACCGCGAGCGGAATGCCGACGCCGTATCAGAGACAGCTGTCGAAGCTGCAAGACAGCGCGCGGCCGCTGGACTGGGAGAGCGTGCGCGAAGTCGTCGCCGAGGAGCTCGGAAGAAGGGCCGTGGAAGACATGGTCCCTCTGAACGGCGACGGGATGCCGCCGGAGGAAGAAGCCGTGGAGGTCGCCGCCGCGGTCAGCGCCCCCGCGGAGAAGAGCGGCGCGAGGGACGTCCTACAGAGACTCGCGATGCTCGCGTCGACGACCGTCGGCGGCTTAAGCGGCTTCGGCGGCGGCGGCGGCGGCGGCGTGTTCGTCTCGTTCGACAGAGAACCCATCGCCGCGGCGTCTTTAGCGCAGGTCCACCGCGCGGTCACCGCGGCCGGGGACGAGGTCGCGGTGAAAGTCCAGCGCCCGGGACTGAGGAGGCAGTTCGACGTCGACCTCGCGACGATGCGGTTCATCACGAACGCGGTGAAGTTGGCGTTTCCCGCGTTTGATTTTTCGTTTCTCGTCCCCGAGTTCCGCCACCGCCTCGCGCGCGAGCTGGACTTCGTGTGGGAAGGCCGGTCGTGCGAGCGCACCGGCAGGGCGCTCGCGGACGACCCTCGAATGGTCACCCCGAAGGTGTACTGGTCGCTCACGACCCCGCGGGTGTTGACGATGGAATACGTCCGCGGCGTCAAGGTTGACGACGGTCCCGGGTTGAGAGCCGCGGGGATCGACCCGACCGCCGCCGCGGAGGCGCTCGCGGACACGTTCGCGCGCATGCTCGCGTGCCACGGGTTCGTGCACGGGGACCCGCACCCGGGGAACATGATCGTGAGGAGGCAGCCGAAGAAGCGGCTGAGAGGGGGCGGGAGGGGTGGCCTCGGAGGCGAGGTGGGGGGGGGCGCGGCGGCGACGACGACGGCGACGACGACGACGACGCGTCGGGGGCGGTTTCGCGGCGGGCGCGGGGGCGAGGACGTCCAGATCGTTCTCCTGGACCACGGCCTGTACACTGAGCTCGACGAGTCTGAGCGCGTGCGGATGTGTCGTCTGTGGCACGCGGTCGCGATGCGAAACCCTGGCAACGTGCGCGCGGCGTCCGAGGCCATGGGCGTCCCGCGTTCGCTGCAGTGGGTGTTGCCGCAGTTGATGGCGAGGCAGACGAGCCAGGTTTTGGGAAACACGCCGCGGGCGGTCGCGACCGCGGCGGCAACCGCGCGCGTGGACGGGCTCATACGCGGCGGACGACCGCCGATGACGATGGATCAGATCTCCGAGTTCGGCAGAGCGTTACCGCGGGAGATGATGGTCGTCATGCGCGCCAACGCGTTGATTCGAAACATCGTCCGGAAGCTCGCCGTCGACGTCGCCGCGCACGAGGGCCGCGCGGGACGCGACGGCGACGGCCGCGGCATCCTCGGTCTGTCCCTGGGCGGGTTCGTCGGCGGCGACGTCGGGCGCAGGATGGAGCGCCGGCGGCAGTGGGCGATGGCGAAGTACTCATGCCTCGGGTTGATCCTGCCGGACGCGCTGAGAGACGGCGGGGAGAAGGGCGGCGGTCTCGCGGGGGTGACGTGGCGGCAGCGCGCGCGGTGGCGCGCGCGGACCGCGAAAGTGTGGGCGCGGATGTGGACGTTTCGGAGCATGCAGTACGGCGTCATGCTCGCGATACGCACGCTCCCGCCGGGGTTGTCCGAACCCGTGGTGCGGCGGTTCACGGAGACCTTGGACAGGGCGCGAGGGGGGTTGCCCGCGGCGTAGGGAGGAGCCCGGCGCGGGCGGGCGGATTTTGTACTTGGAACTTTGTTCGTCATTTCGTTCGTTGGTTCGTTCGTTCGTCTTGTCGCGTCTTGTCGCGTCTGTTCGCGTCGTCATCGTGTCGTGTCGTGTCGTCTCGTCTTCTTCAGTCGTCCTCCTCCTCTTCGTCCTCTTCCTCCTCCTCCTCCTCTTCGTCCTCCTCGCCCTCATCTTCCTCCGCGTCCTCCAGCGCGGCCGCGGCGTCTTCATCTTCCGTCGCGTACTTGAACGGATCGATCAGCGTCGGTCGATCGGGGTACCGCTCCTCGAGCGCCTCCTTCGCGGCGATGAAACGCTCGGTCTGCTCCTCGTTCAGCGTGTCGTCGCCGTCGAAGGGAAGCAGCACGGTGTCGATCATGTGAAGGACGCCGTTGCACGCGACGATCTCGTCCCCGACCAGCTTGGCTCGGGACCCGAGGCCGACGCAGTAGACGTCGTCCGCGGCTGTTTCGTTCTGGGTGCCGTCCTTCTCGAGGACGCCGTTCGCGACGATGAACAGCGGCATCTCCGCCTGCAGCGCGTCTTCTAAGAACCGATCGCCGCCTTTTAACTTCACGAGGTCGGCGCGCGTCAGCGCGCGGTCGGGAACCGCGTGGTACGCGATCAAGAACCCCTTCCACTCGACGTCGCCGAGGAGCTCTTGCAGCCCTTCCTTAATGTCCTCGAACCCGGCCCACGCCGTGAACCCTTCGATCGCGTCGTTCGTCGGCGCGAAGAACGTGTCCGTCACCGAGCTGTTTCCGAGCTCGTTCTGGACGATCGGGAGGTCCGCCATCGCGGCGGCGAGCTCGCTCAGGTCCGGGTGCGTCTGGATGATCTCGAGGAGCGTCTTGCACTTCCCGCTCGGTTCGTCCCACTCGCCCTTCAGGCGGTGCTCCTCCGAGGGTATCTTCTCGCGCGTCTCCGGCGAAGTCTCGACGCCGTTGACGTCCGCGGAGAACTCTTCATCCAGACGCGGGACGTTCGAGGGCTCGCCCTTGCCGTACTCCTCGCTCACGGCGAGGCCCGCGTCGTCGTCGTCGTCGTCGTCGTCCGCGTCGACCGCTTGGAGGAGGTTGCGGCGGTAGCGTATGCCGCGGCTTGGGGTGTATCGCGACGATATCGACCTCGCGCGCGGGCGGTCGTCGCGGGAGTACCTGCCCGTGTACCCGGACTTCTCCTCGTCGTCGCGGCCGGAGTACTGCGCGTCCACGGTGGCGAGGGCGGCGAGGGCGAGGAGGGCGAGCGCGAGGAGAGCGCGCGCGCGAGCCATGGTATCGCGCTGGTTGGCGTGCCGTCCGTTCGGTCGCGTCGAGGCGAGCGCTCGCGTCGCGGTCGCGCGCGTGCGTGTGGCGGCGGCGGCGGCGGCGGCGGCGCCGTCGTCGTCGTCGACGTCCCCGATATGATCCTCTCGGCGGCTCCGAGAAGCCGAGTCAGCGGAGGCGCCGCGGCGCGCGGCGCCCTCTCGGACGCGACGAGACCGACGCCCCCGTTTGGTCAGCGGCACGGCAGCGGCACGGCACTCTCTTCTGGTGCGTGACGTGTCGGAAGTCAAGCTTTCGGCGTCTCGCGTCGACGGCCGTCGCCCAGAGCGCGCACACCACCGCGCGCGTCGGACGCACGCCTCCGCGCGTCTCTCCCGCCCGCGTCCGCTCGCGCGTCCTCGCCGCGCCGCCGCCGCCGCCGCCGTCGTCGTCGTCGCCGTCGTCGTCGTCGTCGTCCTCGCGACCGAGACGCCTTATCGACATCCCGTCCCGTCGTCGTCGTCGTCGACGCGATGTCGTCGGCCACCGCCACCGCCGCCGCGTCCGCGCTCGCGTCGCGCGCCGCGCCGCACAGGGGCGACCACCGCCGCGCGGTGATCGCGACGCGACGTAACGCCGCGGCCGCGAAAAGCCGCGCGACGACCGCGGCGGCGGCGGCGGAGACGGAAAAGCTCCCCGCCAACCTCAAGAAGATCGTCGGCGCGTTCCAGATGGTGCCCGATCCTATGCAGCGGTACAAACAGCTCCTCTTCTTCGCGGCGAAGCTGAAAGGGTTCGACGAGAAGGATAGGGTGGAGGACAACAAAGTCCAAGGGTGCGTGTCGCAGGTGTGGGTCGTGCCGAGGATGGGAGAGGACGGCCTCGTGTACTTCACCGCGGACTCGGACTCGCAGCTCACGAAGGGGCTGGCGGCGCTGCTGTGCGAGGGGCTGAGGCGCGTTCTGTCTCACGCCGGTCCCCACACGACCGCGTTCGCGCGGTGCACGCCGATCCTCGAGGACTTTCTCTCCCGGCGTTCGTCTCTCTCCGCCCAGGGTCCCTCGGTTTCAATCCCCGACACGCCTCGATGCCTTTCAACTCCGCTTCTGACGCCTTTGAACGCCGCCCCGACGTCGCTTTGAACGATGGACCCTCGACCCTCGCAGCGGGAGCGCGCCGAAAGAGATCATGGCGGTGGAGCCGGACTTCGTCGAGCTGCTCGGGTTGGGGCAGTCGCTGACGCCGTCGCGGACGAACGGGTTCATGAACATGTTGCGGTTGATGCAGAAGAAGACGTTGGAGTGTTACATGGAGGCGGAGAAGGCGGCGAAGGACGCGTAAGTTGATTTTTTATTCGGCTGGCTCTTTTTCTAATTAATGATGACGCGAAGCCGGTGTCTAGTTCTATGCCGCGACGTCCGTCCTGTCGTCCCGCGCGTCGTCCTACCTCACCTCCCCCTCTCCATGTGCTCCTCAATCTCCCCCGCGATCCCGTCCGGGACGTCGTCGTTGATCTCCAGCGCGTAACACCCCGGAACCGCCTTGTTCAGACGCATCCACTTCGCGCACCACGACGACTTGGGATCGAGCACGGAGACGATTCCGCTGTACGCCGGGGTCGTGCACTCCGCGACGCGATCGCGGTCGTCGTTCATCTGGAAGAACGCGCAGTTATCGCACCCCTTCTCGAAGAACTGCGGCGCGGGACGAGGTGAGACGAGGTGGGCGATCGTCCGTCAGCGGGGGGACGGAGGGCGGGTCGGATCCGCGCGAGAGGGGCGCGCGTGATCACGAGATGGTCGCGCGCGATCGATCGTGCTGGGACGCGCGCCTGTTCGAACGTCTTCACGAGCTTGCATCGGAAGCACGCGCGGGTGTGCTTGACGAACTCGAGGGGCGGGTCCGCCGCGGATTTGATGACCGAGATCACCTTCGTGTCCACCTTCGCGGCCGACATCGTGCGTGCGTCGCGCGCGATCGGTGTGCGCGATTTAGGGTTCGCTCGCGTCGTTCGTCGAGCTCGCGCTCGCGTCCGCCAGTCATCAGTGCATTATTTTCCCTTCGCGCGCCGTCCGCGCCGCCGCCACTCGCGCGGACGCGCGTCGTCCTCGCGCGTCCGCGCCGCCGCGATGCCGCCGAAGAAGCGGAAGACGGAATCGCCCGCGGCGCCGGCCTCGGGTGCCGCGCGGACGCGTCGGCGCGGCCCGAGTCGCGAGGATCTGGCGTCCGAAGTCGGCACCGCGGACGACGACGCGACGACGACGACGACGACGACGACGACGACGACGACGACGACGACGCGCGCGCTCGGCGTCGTCGGGTCCGCGTCCTGGTCCGCGTCGGACGCGTGGGAGGATCAAGCGCGTCGACTTCGCGACGCGCCGCTCGGCGTCCTGCACGCGAACGTCAGCCTCGGATGGAGCCCCGACGGCGGGAGAGGGCTCGTCGCGGTCGCGCCGATCCCTGCCGGGGCGATCCTCTTTCGCGTGCCGCCGTCGCGGACGCTCACCGCGGCCGCGGCGCTCGAGTCGGAGACCGGGAAGGCGCTCCTCGCGGCGATCGACGCGTCGCCGACGAAGAAGACGCGCCTCCCCGTCGGCGACCTCGCGCTCGCGGTGCGCGTCGCGCTGAGCACGCGCGCTTTCGGGGGGAAGCACGTCTGCGTCGACGACGCGTCGCCGTTTCGCGGCTACTTCGCCCTCCTCGCGGACGAACCTCTGGACGAATCCCCGGTGTGGTGGGACGAGGACGAGCGCGAGCGGCGGCTGCGAGGGTCCATGCTGCTCCACGACGCGGTCGCGCTCGCGGCGGACGTGCGCGCGGATTACGAGGGCGTCGTCGAGGGCGTTATGCGAGACGCGGAGAAGACGCCCGCGAGAAGAGACGTAGACGTAGACGCCGCGGGAAACCGCCGCGCCGCCGAAAGATTTACTCGAACGAAGACGGGAAATTACGAGCGCTTCCGACGCGCGCTCGCGGCGATATGGTCGCGGTCGTTCAACGTCGGCGGCGTGCGGGGTCAGACCCAGACGGACGAGGACGAGTCCTTCGCCGGCGCGCTCGTGCCGTTGCTGGACTGCGCGAACCATCACAGGAAACCGAGGGAGTGCTCGTGGACGATCGACGAGGACGGGTGCGTCCTCGTCGTGGCGATCAGGGCGTTCGACGCGGGCGGCGCCATTCGCATCGCGTACGGCGCGCGAGGGAACCACGACCTGATGCTTCGGTACGGGTTCGCGGTGGAGGATAACACCGAGCCGGACGGGTCGTCGAACGACGTCGCGGGCGTGTTCGTCGACAAAACGCCGTTGGGGTATAATTTAGGCGTCAGGGTCGACTTGAGGGTCGCGCGGGACGCGTCGTATCTCTATCCGCCGTTCGCGAAAGCGTTGGACGCGTGGCGCGCCGTCTACGGCGGCGGCGGCGGCGGCGGCGCGTGGGGTCCCCCGCCCGGCGACGTCGAGGAGGACGTGTACGGGTGCGCGGGCGACGGAGGAGACGACGATGACGACTGGGGCGACATGTACGGCGACGGCGGCGAGGATGATGAAGAGGAGGAAGAGGAGGAGAAGCTGACCGAGGAGACGTTGCGGGCTGAAATCGAAGCGCTGACTGAATTCCGGACGATTCGCGCCGCCGGAATGGGATATCCCTGCTGGCTTCACGTCTCCGACGTCTTGAAGCAAACGCCAGAAGGCGCGAAGCTGGAGGACCCCCGCGATCGAGCGTGCTTCGTCGCTCTGGTGAGCGAGCACGCGACGTGCGAGCTCTACGCGCGCGCGGCGGGATGGGCGCGCGAAGCGATCAAGCTCGCGTTGAGCGGCGAACGATGGACCGAGTCGCCGCTGCTCGCGCTCGAGAAGAAGCTCGGCGTCGCACTGAAGGAACTGGCACCGCGTTTCGACGGCGATTGGAAGAGTAGTCGGTGTTGGATGTATCCGGCACATTTCGAGGACGCCAAGATTCATCCGATTTGGCGGGAGGCGCGAGCGCGCGCGTTGGACCCGGCGAACGTGAAGACGCTCGTGTCGGCGTACTTAAAAATTCGCCTCGGCGCGAGGCTGGAGGAGTAGCGTCCGCGGAGCGGAGGTCGTCTGCATATGGTAGTTTTAGTATTACATCAACCATCTTATAGTGCGTGCGTGGTACTAACGGAAAACATACAGTACAGAAGAGAGAGTTACAGCGGCTTCGGCGACGGCGGCGTCCCCGGAGCGGCGACGACGGGCTTCGTCGGACCGTCCGGGAGAGGCACCTTCTCCGTCTCCTCAGTCGTCGCCGCGGCGACGGGCGCGGGCGCGTCCGTCGCCGCCGGGGCGTCCGCGGCGACGGGCGCGTCCACCTTCGCCGTGGCGTCCGGCGCCGTCTCCGCGGGCGCCGTCTCCGCGGGCGCCGTCGCCGTCTCCGCCGTTGCCGCCGTCGTCGTCGCCGTCGTCGTCGCGACGTCGCCGCCGCCCCCTCTCCTCCACAACATCGCCGGCCTCGGCGCATCGTTCTTCGCGAGATACAGCCCGCACGCGTTGCACAGCGACCCGCCGCCGGTCCTCTCTTTCCTCCAGAACGGCGTCTGCGTCGCGCCGCAGTTCACGCACGTCTTGCACTCGTTCCCGCTCCCGCGTCGTTTCCGTTTCGACCCTCCGCCGGCGCTGCCCGAGCCGCTGTCTTCGTCGCTTCCGCTGCTCGCGCGCTCGCGTTTCATCCCATACGCGCCCTTCCCGCCCCGCGCGGAGTGCGTCGGGGCGTGGATCAACGGCGGCGGGTGCTGCATCGCCGCCGCGGCCGCCGCCATCGCGGCCGGGTTCAGGTGGTTCAACATCGGAAACCCGCCCGGCATCATCATCTTCCCGGCGCCGCCCGCCGCGGCGCCAGCGCCCCCCGTCGTCCCCGGTCTGGGCGGCGCGCCGTTGCAGAGGTAGTACGAGTAGCACGCGTAGTACTGCAGCAACGCGTTCCACTGCTGCTGCTGCTGCTGCTGCTGCTGCTGCTGCTGCTGCTGCTGCTGCTGCTGCTGCTGCTGCGACGCGTCGCCCGGCGGCGGCGGCCTCTGCTGCTGCTGCTGCTGCTGCTGCTGCATCGCGGCGGCGGCTGCGGCGAGGCCGATCGGGAACCCGCCGTGCGGAGGCGCGGCGCCGGGCGGCATCGCGCCGAGCGGCGGGAAGGCCGGGAACGCGCCCGGGGCGAACGCGCTCGGCGCGGGCGCGATCGGCGGCATCGCCGGCTTCGACGTCGGCGTCGCGTCTTTCGCCGCGCTCTTCGACGGCGACGGCTTGTACGTCGTCGCCGTCGTCGCGAGCGCGCGGAGGGTGTCCGCGGCGATGTCGGCTTTTTGCCGCCCGGTCGCCTTCATCTTATTTGTATGTTCTTCCTTCGCGTCCGCGCGCGCGCTCGTGCTCGGCGCGTGCATGTTCCCGCCGAGACTACCCACGGCGTGCGGTCGATTCGCCGTTCTCGCGGCGGGCGGCGCCATTTCCGCGCGTGCTCCCGCGAACGACGCGCGCGCGGCGGTCTCCGGCGCGACGTTCGGATAATCGATCGCGCGACGTTTGAGTCGGATTTATTATACCGCGCGAGCAATTGCGCGCCGGAGTTTACCGCCGCCCGCGCGTCCCGGTCGCCGCGTCCCGCCGCGCGCGCTCGAAGGAGTCGCTCGCGACGCGCGCGATCGACACGCCTCTGTTTTCTCCCCGGGTGTCGGTCGCGCCTCGCCGCGTGCGAGCTCGCGCGCGAGTGACTGATGGCCGCGTGGAAAAAAAACAGCGCTCTGCCACGGTGGCCGCCTCGTCATTTATTGGCCTGCAGGAATTACGTTGATCCGGGGCGTCGTTTCAGACTAATTGCCATAGCGGGGTCCTGGCCAGTCAAAAGCGCGAAAGGGCTTTTGTGCTGGCATCGAAGGGCACTTTTCGCGCTTTTCGGAAAAATATCTCGCGCGAAATCGCGCGGGTTGGCTGACTGGATCTCTCCAGTGCCGGAAACGTTTTTTTCCGTGCATGGTTTAGTGGATAATTTTCTAACTAAATACTCATACGCGTATGGTACGAGAATTCGATTGGAGATATTTCTTCGACCAGATCGAATTTGATCGCGACGCGATCGGTGGCGGGATCGGGCTGATCGGGGAGATCATGTTCGGAGAAAACGCCGGGCTGAGTCAACAACCTGCAACGCACCTCACGGTGCAGGTAGCGAAGGCACAGACGAGCGCGAGAGGAAAGAATTTTACTACCTGGACCAGAGTCCATCCTCGTCGCGAGCCGACTCTACTCCTCGTTCGCGCGCGCGTCCGCCTTCTCCCGCGCCGCCCGCATCGGATCGTCTAACACCTTGATCGAGCTCAGGCTCGCCCTGACGCCGCACATCGGACACGCGCCCTCCTTGGCGAGCACGCGTACCATCTCGCTCGCGCGGCAGTCGAACGCGCACCCCGGACACCTCGCCCAGTCCTCCCTCGTCACCCTCTTCCCGCTCGCGATGCAGAACGGGTTATCCTTCCCGCACGCGCCGCATCTCAACTCCGTCTCCGGCCCCCGCGCGTCGCAGTGCACGCACGCGCTCGTGGACTCCGCCTCCTCGCTCTTGTCCGGCTTCCGAACGATGGTCTCGATCTTCCGCTTGTACGCGTCGGCGATCCGCGCGCGGAGCTCCGGCTTCATCAACGTCGTCGCGTGCTCCAAGGCGGTGCGCTTGAGACCCGCGCGCTGGCACTCGATCACCGTGGAGGTCAATATGGGCACGACGTGCGCGGGGAACTTGTCGATTTTCTTCGCGACGCGGTGTAACATCCGCGCCGCGCCGACGTGATCGCCGAGCTTCACGAGAACCTTCACCAACACGTACGAGTGCAGCAAGACGAGGCTCGTCGTGAGCTCGTCCGGGACGCGCTTCCCCTCCGCGTTGAACTCCTTGTGCGTGTCGTACAGCTGCGCGTGCGCGATCTTGTAGTTGCCCATCTCTTGCTCTTGCTTCGCGATGAGGATCGACGTCCGCGCGGCTTGCTCGTAATTTCGAAGCGCGATGTGGAGCTTGAAGAGATGGTTCGCGTCCTTGACGACGCCGTCGGGTCCGGCGCCGGTGAGAAAGTCCACGACCGTATTCGTCAGCGCGTCGTCCCGCGCGACGCCGACGACGCCGATCGCGGACTCGATCCCGGCGCCGTCGTCCGCTCTGAGGTACGACGTCACGGCCGCGCGGTAGTCCCCGGCGCGTTTAAACGCGTCCCCCGCGCGGACGTGCTCTCGTTTCGCGTCGAATCGCCGCGCGAGCGACTTGTACTCCTCCGGCGTGCCTTCGCTGCCCAGGAGCTCTAAGAAGCGGTCCACGAGGTCGTGCTCGCTCGCGACCGCGTGCGCCTCCTCGGTCTTCCGCGCGAGGAGTAAAAATTCCACGGCGCCGATGTGGTCGTCGTTCTTCGCGCAGAAGGTCGCGACGGAACGCGACGCCTCCGCGGATCGCGACATGCGCGCCAACGCGAACGCTTTCGACGGGTTCCCGAGATGCTCCAAGTTGAGACGCACGACGGCGTCGAAATCGCGCGCGAGCTCGTACGCGTCCGCAGCTTCCCGCAGCTTACCGTCCGCCTCCATCGCGCGCGCGTACTGCGAGTGCAGCTTCGGCGCGGAGAGCCGCGACATGATCGGCTTCGCGGCGGCGAAATTTTTCGCCCCGACGTAAATCGTCGCCGCGCGTTCGTCGTCGCCGCCTTGCTCGTACAGCGCCGCCGCGTCCGAGGGCTGATTCATGTGCTCTAACAACGCCGCGCACTCGCGGCATAACGCCTTGTCCCCGATCTCGCTGACCATCTGCTTCCCGCGGCGGACGTCGCCGACGCGAATCGTGCACCGCGCGACGCCGCCTCTGGCTCTGAGCGTCTCGCTCTCCGTCTGACCCGGGTACGTCAACGCGCGCTCGAAAATCTCCAGCGCGCGCTCGTGCTCGCCCTCCGTCTCTAACACGACCGCGTACTCGCGGCAGATGCCTCCGAGCTGCGACGGGTCCGCCTGCTGCGCGAGCGCGAGCGCTTCTTCCCAGTGTTTCAGGTCTTTACGCATCTCCAGCGCGAGGTTCGGCTTGTTCGCGCGTAAAAAGAGCTCCTGCGCGGCGTCGTAGCAGTCGTCTCTCTCGAAGAGCATTAAAACGTTCCCGGCGAGGACGTTTTTATCCTCCACGTGCGCGAGCCTCTCCAGAGACATCACCATGCTCGCGTCGCCGACGAACCGATACACGCGCGTCGCGATGTCGATGTTCATGTGCGTCATCGCGCGATGCGCGAGCTGTTCCCACATCTCCGGCGTCTGCAGCCGCACCGCGATGTCCCACGCAACCTCGAGGCGGTTCAAGTTCAGCGCGCGCACGAACCGCTCGCGTCCGCGGTCGCCGGCGGTGCCCTTCCCCCCCCCGCTCGTGGACGCGCCGTCTAACAGCGCCGCGTGCGTGCGAAGCAGCTCGTTCTTCATCCCCCCGCCCGCGGTCTGGCACGCGACGACGCCGCCCGTCATCAACACCGGCGTCGACCCCGCCGTCTGCGGGTGCGTCCCCACAAGCTCGACGACCGGGCCGTTGATCGTGCTCGGGGCGTACGCGTACACCTGGTACTCCGCGCCGTTGCTTATCACGAAGCACTCCGGGTCCGTGGCGTCCCACAAGATGGCCTGCGCGGGGCCTTGAAAGTCCGGGATGTGGCACGTCTGATCGATCACCGGGTTCAAAAAAATCGGCGTCGCGCGTTCGTCCACGAAGACGACCCTCGTTCCCAACGCGTTCACCTTGAGCGTCGTCACCGCGCCCTGGCCGTGCTTGTACTCGCACACGTGCACGCGCTCGGGGAGGTGAAAGTAGCACACCCCCCCGCTCGTCGTTCCGTACACGAGAAACTCGGACGTGAGCGCGATCGACGCCACCTCCGCCGTCGGCGTCCGCGCGCCGCCCCCGCCCGGCGCGGGCAGCGTGAAGTCCATGCTCTCCGTCGGGTCGTCCTCGTGCTCGATGAGATGACACGTCACCCGTCCCTCGCACCTCACCGCGGCGACGGCGTCGTTCAGCGCGCACTCGTCGATCGTCCCGACGTACTCTCGCTGGTTCACGCGCTCCGCGGCGTACGACATCTGTTCCTCGGGCGGCCCGACGCGGTAGAACCACGCGCGGTTGTTCATCCCCGCGGCTACGTGCGCGCGGCCGAGCGCGACGAACGACGGCTCCGCGTCGATGGCGATCGTCGCCACGGTCGAGCTGTTCAGATCCGCGATGGTGACCTCCACCAGCGACGTGAGGTACACCAGCCGCTGCTCGCACGCGCACGCGATCGTCGGCAGGGACGCTAAGAAGGTGTGCACGTGCCCTTGGTTGGTCGCCACGGTGAGCATCTGCCCGCGCATGTTCCACCCGACGCACGAGACGGCCGCGAAGTCGCCCTCGAACTCGAGCTTGTCCCCCGGACGTTCCGCGAAGACGCCGTTCGTGACGTCCAAGAGCTTCACGACCGCGCCGGCGGCGACCGCGACGCGCGATATCTCCGGGCAGTGCGCGAGGTGCGCGAGCCCGCCGTCCGGGAACGCCTTGAAGACGTCGAGTTCGCGTTCGCTCCCGGGCGCGCCGTCGTGCGCGGCGAGGACGACGATCACGCCGCTGTCGAACCCGACGATCACCAAGCCCTCGCCGAACCACCGGTGAGAGACGATCGCGCCGTACCTCTTCATGAACGCGTACTCGATCGGGGTGCTCGCGACCGGGGCGTCCGCGTCCTTATCGTCCCCGAGCCGGCACAGGTACAGCGTCTTTCCCGCCAAGTTGACGCTGAGAAGATTCGCGCGCGACGCGACGCCGAGGCCCTCCCTCCGCGGCTCCGGCGCGAACTGCATCTCGAGCGGGTACCCTTTCAACATCAGCCGCGTGGACGTCTCGCCGCCGTCCGCGGTGGATATCGTCACGCTCATGTCCTCGCCACCCATCGCGAGTCTTCCGTCGTCGCTCCACGCGCCGCACGTGATCTTTTTGTCGTGCACCTTGAGCACGCTGCGCGTCTTGCCCGCGCGCGCGTCGAAGAGGAGGAGGTTGCCCTTGACCGTCCCCGCGGCGAGCACGTGCCCGGGGGGATCCCAGCACAGGTGCGTGACGTCCTGCTTGTCGTGCGCGTGCTCGATCTTGATGCTCTCGCGGTTGCGCACGTGATACACGATGACGGCGTCGCCCATGCCCGCCTTCGGGCCCGCGACGAGCGCGGCGAGTTTCTGCGATCGCGCGTCCCACGCGACGGACATCACGGACGGACGGTTGACGTTCTCCTTCCCGGGGAGGTGGATCTCGTCCCAGAGCTCGCCCTTGCGGTCGAAGACGTACATCCGGAGCTTGATCCCGGCGACGGCCATGTACTTGCCTGAGGGCGACGACGGCGGCGGGGGAGGGGGAGGGACGCGAAGGGGGGTCAGGACGACGAGGGAGGTCGTTTTGAACGGACGGCACCGAGGAAACGAAATCGTTCCGTCCGTCGCGGTTCGCGAGGCGACGCGCGGGGCGGGCGCGGACCGTTCGGAGACCACTTGAACGTCACCGGCCCGACGCCGGTGTAGTCGTTCGTCACCTCGAACAGCTGCTTCATGGCGGAAGCCGCGCGACCCTAGCCCGCGCCGCCGCGCGCGCCCCTGGAGTGGACGAGCGAGACGACGCGACGACCCGTCAACGACGTGATTTAATTTCTTTTTCGAGTCTGGTTCGCTCATCAGAACCTCCCTCTCCCTCGTCCTCGCCCGCCGCGTCCTCCTCGCCCTCCGCCGCCGCGCCCCCTCCCCCCTCCCCCGCCTCTCCCGCCGCCGCGCATCGCCTTCATCTCTCCGCGCACGCGGTCGATCGTCGGCGCGCGCACGGACAACTCCGCGGGCGTCAGGTCGTACGCGCCGCGTCGAGCCCTCGCCGCCGCCTCCTCCGCCGCTTTTTTTCTCGCCTCCCTCTTCGCCTTGTTCTTCCGCGGTCTCGTGTCCCCGGGCGCGCGCGCGTCGTCGTCGTCGTCGACGTCGGCGGTCTTCGCCTTGTTGGCCTTCGCCTTCTCCTTCTCCTCCGCCTCGCGCGCGAGTCGCATCGCCTCGCGCTGACGCTTCCCGGGCTTCCCCTTCTTCGCCGCGGGCGGCGCCGGCGTCGCGTCTTCGCCGCCGCCGCCGCCGCCGCCGCCGCCGTCCTTCCCCGCCCCGCCAACCTTCGCGCGCTTCCGCTGCCGCTGCCGCCCGCCGCGGTCGCGCTTCTTCTTCTCCCCCCTCTCCCCCTCGTACGTCAGCCCCAACCGCTCCGCGCGCCTCCTCTCTACGGCGTCCACGACGTCTTCGTCGTCGTCGTCGTCGTCGCCGTCCTCGGCGCGTAAGATGCGTTGCGTCATCAACCTCGCGCGTCGCTCCGCGTGCGTCTCCGCCTCGCCGTCGGAGTACCCCTCCACGCTGTCGACGTCGTCGTCGTCGTCGCTGTCGTACTCCTCCTTCTCCTCCTCGTCGTCGTCGCCGTCGCCGCGTCGCTTCCACGACTTGGGGACTTTCCTCCCCGCCGGCGCCTTGACGTGCGCCATCGGGTCGTCGGCGCCGTCCGGGAGCTTCGCGACCTTCTTTTGATGCTTCTTGCTCGCGAGGTGCCGCAGGAGCGAGTCTTTGGAGAGGCAGAGGACGCCGGGGCACAGCTTGCACTTCAGCGCGAGCCCGCCCGCGGGTTTAGGGTTTAGGGCCGCCGCCGCCGCCGCGTCGTCCGCGCGCGTCTCCTCCACGTCGCTCAGCGACATGTTTCCGTCGCCGTCGTCCTCGTCGTCGGGGTCGTCGTCGTCGTCGGACGACGCGTCGTCGTCGTCGTCGAATTGGTTGTACATCCCCTTGCGGACGCGCTTGGAGTCGCTGTCGCTGTCGCTGTCGCTGTCGCCGTCGGAGTCCCCCGCGTCGGAGTCGGTGAGATCGGTGAGCGACGCGTCGGTGTCCGTGTCCGAGCCGCTCAGCGCGCCGCGCCCGGCGTCCGGGTCGGAATCGCTCGTGTCGTCGCCGGCGTCGCCCCCGCCGCCGCCTCTGAACAGGTTCCAGTCCCGACGCTTGATCATGGCGACGTGGTGGGGGGTCACGCGCGCGCGAGTGCGGTGCGGAGACCGTGCGACGCGTCGAGCGGTGTGCGGCCGGCGCGGAGGAACGCGGGCGCGATTACGCCCGCCGCCGCTTTCGATGCGAGGGATTTTTTCGGCGACGCACTCTGCTCGTGATGAAGTCGTTGAGAGGTCTCGTCGTCGTTTTTATTTGACGCTACCGGCTCGCCGACTGACGACGCGCGTCACCCCCGCAAAAACTTCACCCCCGCGGCCGCCAACTCCCCCACCAGCGCCTCATCCCCCAGGGAGAACCCCCCTAACCTCCCGAACGCGGGCGAGAGCTTCGACCCGTCCAGCTTGAAGTACACCGGCGTGAGGTGCGTCCCGCGCAACCTCACCGCGCTCACGGGCGCGTCCCCGCTCACCGTCGTCATCGCGTACCTGTGCCTCAAAACCTCCATCAACTCGTCGTTCTGGTCCAGATCGTCCTCCTCGAAGCTCAACAACGTCGCCCGGGGGGACTCGAATCCGCGCTTCGCGCGCTCGAGCGTCTCCGCGGGCGACGGCGTGAAGTCGAGCCCCGCCGCGGACGCGGCTCGCTCCGCCATCGCCGTCAAGTTCGGGAGGTTCCGCATGAACCCGTCGAACGCGGCGTTCGCGCTCGCGTCCCCGCCCGTCGCCGTCTCCGCGCGCTTTCGGACGAGCTCCTTCGCGAACTTCTCGAGGAGACGCACCGAGTCCGCGGCTGTGGCGTTATTGAACGCGACGAACAGGTGCCCGGCGCGCTTCGCCGCGGCGCTCTCGCCGTCGCCGTCCCCCTCGCCGTCTCCGCACGCGGCGACGAGGTGGAGCTTGCACCCCAGGCTGTGCCCGAACGCGAAGACGGGCGTGTTCGCGAGGTCGTACCCCTCGCGCGTCGCGAACGCGGCCCACGCGCGGTTCAGCTTCGTCGCGCACTCGCGCGATATCTTCCCGTGATCGACGCCGAGATCGTACGGCGTCGCGACGACGACGACGCCGGCGTCGTCGCTCACGCGCGATAAGAACGCGTCGTACGCGATGTGCGGATAGGATCCCAGGACCGCGCCGCCGATGAAGTGCACGACGCCCCAGGCTCTTCCGGAGGGGGCGCGGACGTACGAGCCGTCGATCTCTTCCCATCCGTCGTCGCCCCTTTTTCCGCGCGAGGACGCGCGCTCGAGCTCCACCTCTCGCAGGCGCGAGCGGAGCTCGATCGCGGCGCCGAGGGTCCCGAGCGAGTTCGGCGCGAACCCGTCGTCGGCGTCCGCGGCGGCGGCGACGAGCGCGCGTCGGGCGCGTCGACGCGTCGACGAGGACGGAGACGCGCCGAGTGCGAAACGAGGTTGAGATCTCGACGACGGGCCTGCGCGCGCGACGCGGGCGAGGGCGAGGGCGCACGAGGACGCGGGCTCGCGAGCGGCGCGGGGATGGACGCGCGCGCGCGGCGCGAGCGCGGCGGCGATCGACGCGGCGGACATGTCGCGGAGGAGGGCGCGCGGCGCTTACGGAAGTGATGAACCGCGCGTCGGTCGAATCCACGTCACCGTTCTGTTCTCTCCAGCGCGTTCAGTTCGTTGCGTCCGCTAGACTAGTCGGCACCTCGACGAGCTCCCAGGGCCGAGTCGCTCTCTCACATCACACGAACCATCGGAACATCCCGTACGTGTACGCGCCTAATACCACCGCGATGCCGCACGCTAGCGCCGCGAACGCGGCGCCGCCGCCCTTGGAACTCCACGCGTCCCCGCGCTCGGAGGATTTCGTCGCGCGCGTCGTCGTCATCGTCGTCGTCCCTCCATCCGACCTCCGCGCCGGCCGTCCCGACGCGCGCGCGGACGCGTCGCCGTCGTCTTCCGCCGCCTTCGACGCGCCGCGGCGCGCGCGATTCCGGAGCTCGCGGGGCATCGCGCGTCCGCGGCACACTGCGGTCGCGGCTCGGGCGTTCCGAGACTCAAGGCCATTCCATACAAAAAATGTTCATCGGTCAGTTGAAAGGAGACGCGATCAAGTGTTAAAACCGGGCGATGGGTGAAAAACGTTTGTATGGAACGCACCTCAGCTATGATATCCCTTTAGACCTGATATCAGCCACGTGACCGTTGAAATAAAACGCCCAGCCGGAGAGGCGCGGTGACGACGCGACGTCGCCGCGCGACACAACGCCGCGCGCGCGACACGCGAGCACCATGCCCGCGCTCGCACACGCGGCGAACGGCGTCCGCGCGAGGCCGTCCGCGCTCGCGTTCCGCGCGTCGCGCCTCGCGGGCGACGTCCCCGGCGGGATCCTCGAGCGCGTCCGTCGAGACGCCGCGACGTCGTCGTCCGGCTCCGTCGTTCGCGCGCGGCGTCGCGCGCGAGCGGCGCGAACGTACGCGTTCGGGGGGAGAGGCAAGGAGACGCACGAGCACGTCGTCAGGTCTGGAGACACGCTGTGGGACATCGCGATGGACTACGGCGTGACCGTGGACGCGCTCCGCGCCGCGAACGGGTTCCGCCGCGACGGCGGATCGTACCAGTTCCTGTACGAGGGCCAAGAGATCAGAGTGCCGGTGACGGAGAGCAACCGGCACTTGTGCGTCGCGAAGCCGCCGCCGGCGAGCGCGACCGCGAAGCGCGCGGCGTCGTCGAGAGCCGCGCCGCCGACGCCGACGCCGACCAAGGCGGCGAGCGGTCGGAGCGAGAAGACCGCGAGCGGCGGCGTATACGGCGGCGGCGGCGCGTCGAGTTTGTCGCCGCCGCCGAACAGGGCGCGCGCGTTCTTGTCCGCGTACGGCGGCTCCCCGACGTCGCTCCCCATGCCCGGGTGGTCGTTCAACTTCATCGAGGGCGCGACTCACGCCGCGGAGGTGGTCGCCCCGATCGCGATCGCCGGGGTCGCGGTCTGGGTTTTCATAACCGGCGCGTTGAAGGCGTTGGAGCTGACGTTCGACCGCGACGACGCGACGGTCGGAGACAACGCGAGCGCGGCGAGACGACTGGAGAAGATGATGGCGGACCGCGAGCGGCGGTACGGGTACAGGTTCCAGGACCAGAACGACGACGTCGAGGAGGCGGCGTATCAGTACGCGAACGCCGCCGAAGAGAACGAGTACGAGTACGAGGACGCGGAGGGTGACTACGCGTACGACGCCGAGCGCGACGCGCGCGACGACGTCGAGGAGGTCGAAGAGGACCCGAACGCGATCCCGCGGAACGCGACGCTGGATAAGCTCATCGAGTGGGCGCTCATCGTGGAAGGGGAGCTGTTGACGTTGTGGGCGCGGTTTTGGTTCTTAGTCCACGCGTGGTTTCGGTTGCAGGCGAGGATGCTGCGGGTGCGCGTCACGGGCGGGGCGCGATGACCGCCCGCGACTGGCGCGCGAGAGAGGAGACTCTCGCGAACGTCGCGTCGGCGTTCGGGCGGGGCGGTGTACGAGTATTTTTTTAAGCGTGCGTGGGTGATCTGAAAAGAAAAGCGTTCGAGTCCGTCGTCACGTCGCGTCCATGCCGTCTTCGGTTCCCCCTCCCCCTTCCCGCGACCGCCGCGGCTCTTGGCTCGGGTTCGGGCTCTCGAGCCCGCCGCCGCCGCCGCCGTCGCCGCCCGCGGCCGGCTCCGGCTCTTTACGTTTCAGTATGTTCGCCGCGGCGAGCGCAAACGCGCTCAGACCTCCGCCACCCACCCCCTCCCCGCCGGCGTCGCCCTCCACCGGCAGCCGCCGCAGAAGCTCCAAAGGCGACGGTCCCTCCCTCTCCTTCTTCGCGTTCTCCGCCGCGCGCGCCTCGCACCGCCGCTTGTGCTTCGCCTCCCTCTCGTCCTGAATCTTCTCGATCTCCTCCACCTGCGAGTGTATCCGCGCCGCGATGCTCTCCGGCGTGTCCGGCGTCGCGCCGCCCACCCTCCCTCGCGCGCTCTGCGGCGTCAACGCCTCCACCCTGCGCGCGAACTCCGCCCTCGCCTCGTCCTCGCGTCTCTTCCTCTCGGCGGCGGAATCTTCCCGAGTCTTCCGACGCGTCCCGCCGTCGCCGTCGCCGCCGTCGCCGTCGTCGTCCGTCGCCTCGTCGTCGTCGTCCGTGTCCATGTCGTCCAGGAAGTCGTCGTTCGGCTCCATCCCGAACGCCTCCGGTTTACGGAGGATGTCCTCCGCGTCCTTCAGTCCGCGATCGAAGACCTGCACGAGCTCGTTGTTGGTCACGCACAGGTAATGCTCCGTCGCCTCCGCGAGGGTGAGGACGGGAACGTCCTTCAGGAGCATGCTGCCGCCGACGACCATCGCGTTGGGGTACCCCTCGAGGACTTCTTTGTGTATCGTGCATCGAATGACCCCGGTCGGGTCCGCGAGGGAGACCTTGAGGTCCCCCCACGGCGACTCGAACGCGTCGATGATTATCACCGCGAGTCGATGGACCCTGTAGCCGCGCCACCCACCGTTTAAGATCCACGCCACGTTCGTCCGCAGCATCGGCGACTCCGGGTCGAACTTCTTCAGGTCCAGCGCGTCCATGAGCTCGAGCCACGACGACGTCTTGAACCACGGCGACTCCGCGGGGTCGTACGGATCCTGGTGCGCGGTCTCGTCGTCGGGGACGGGGACGTCGCCGGCCTCGATCTGCTCCGCGGCCTTCCCGCGCCGGAGCGCCTCCTGGAGCGCGCCCGCGGGGCCGGGGATGCGATACTTCGGCGGCGGCGTGGACATCGCCGCGGCGGGCGCGATGGGGGACCGCGACGCGGGAGGTGCCCCTCCCCTCGCCGCGCGCGCGAGCGCCGACTGCTTCGATCGTCGTCACCCCGCGGGCGCGAATAAAAAGTTATTATTCGCGCCATCGTCGATTTCGTTCCTCGACGCTATCCATTCTCCGCCGCGCGGCAGCACGCCAGCGGTCGATCGAGACGTCCGCGACGACGTCGCGCGCGATGCTCTCCTCCGCGACGCGCCCCGCGATCGCGCGCGCGAGCTCCGGCGTCTCGTCGCGCTCGTCCGCGAGCGCGCCCGCCGCGGGTTTTCTCCGACGCGCGCGAGCGTCGATCCGACGAGGCGTCGTCGTCGCGCCCCGGACGACGACGACGACGACGACGACGACGACGACCGCGTCCGCCGCGCGAAGGATGGGCGTCGAGGAGGCGAAGACGCTCCTCGAGCGCGACGGGTACAAGATGCTCGACGTGCGAGACTGGAAGTCGTACGACAAGGAGCACCTCACGAAGCCGCCGCAGTGCACGGCGAACGTCCCGCTCGGAGACGGCGACGACCTCGCGTCGTTCGTCGCTCGCGTGCGCGACGGCGGCTTCCGCGACGGCGCGAAGCTCCTCGTCGCGGACGCGGCCGGTCCCGGCGGCGTCGCCGCCGCGGACGCGCTCGCGGACGCGGGGTTCGCGAACGTCGTCGGCGTCGAGGGCGGGTACGACGGATGGAGAGCCGTCTTCACGACGTGCGGCCGCCGGCGACCGCCGCAGGGGAAGTGGATCAGCACGGGGAAGGGCGGGGAGAGCCTGAAGTCCGGGCTGACGTTGGACCCGAACGTCGCGAGCGCGTACGAGGAGAACTGGGGGAAGGCGCCGCCGGTGCACAACGTCGCCAAGGCGCGCGAGAAGCTCGCGGAGGAAGGGGGAGGCGGCGCGACGAGAGGAGGAGCGAGCGGCGAAGGCGACGACGCGAACGCCGCCTCCGCGGGTGATGACGCGTCTCGCGACGCGACCCTCCAGGCTGCGGTCGATGACCTCGCGGCGAAGCGCGCCAAGTTCGAGGGCGGCGTGAAGAGCTACCGCGGCGTGGAGGACGCGCTCGCGTCGTTGAGAGCGTCGGGGGCGGACGCGAACTCCGCGGACGCCGTCGCGTTGTTTCGCGAGCGCGACGCGTTGAACGCGTTTCTGACGCGCGGGAAGGAGGTCGTCGGCGAGGCGGAGGCTCTCGTGGAGCGTCTGCGCGCGAGCGATGGCTGGTGACGCGTCGAGCGAGCGGCGTGAGATGCGGTGTGAGCTTCTTATCTTAAGGTTGACGACACAGCACGCAGCGGTCTCTACCCTTCGTCCTCGTCGTCGTCCGGCGCGAGTTTGCCGTAGATTTCAAACTCGCCTCGCACCCCTTTCGTCGCCGGCCTCCCGTCCGCGAGGAACAGCGGCTCGAACTGCCTCCTGTAAAACTCCGCCATGGAATTTTGTTCGACAAATCTCGCCGCCGCGTCGCTCGCGCCTTCACCCTCGCCCGCGCGCTCGCGCTCGCGCTCGCGTCGGAACCGTTCCACGCCGCCCGCGCGGCCGCCGAGTAATTTTTCATTCGCCGCGTCCGCGAACGCCCTCGTGACTTTCGCGCCGCCGCCCGCCACGAGCCGCGGCAGCGGTTTCTTCACCCGCCCGGGGTAGACGTCCGTGTACCCGTCCACGACCACGTCCACGGCGCCGAGCGCGAGCGGCGTGCGCCAGACGATCGCGGAGTCGTGCGCGTTGAGGAAATCCAAAAGCTTCGCCTGTTTCTTCGGCGCCGCCGCGCCCGGCATCCCGCCGAGGAGGTTCCGCGCGTCCACGTCCTGGAACACCGCGTCCTCCACGCCCACGCCGTTCTGCGTCACGGCGACGTACTCGGTCTTCAAGACGTCGAACGCCACGCCCAAGGCTTTCTCCAAGCCGAACAGCGTCGTGGACGCGGAGACGCAGAGCACGCGCGCGTCGGACGGATCCGAGCGAGGCGTCGCGCGCAGCTGCATCGTTCGCCGTCCTCCCGTCGCCGCGTCCACGGCGCGGAGGTCGATGTTCGCCCATCGCTGCTTCGGCGCGGGTCGCTCGCGCGCGCAGACGCGGCCGGGGAGATGCGGCGGCGCCTTGTAGTTCGGTTGCCTCGGCTTCTTGCTCGGCGCGCTCGCGCTCGCGCTCGCGTCGCTCGAGCGCTTTCCTCCACTACCGCCGAGGAGTCTCGCGATGGGGACGTCGTCGTCGTCCTCCGCCGCGCGCGAGCGCGCGCCCGCGACGACCTCTCGGCTCGGCTGCGTCGTCTTGGTCCGCATGCTCCCCGGTGAGGGACCCCCCGCGCCGCCTGCACTGGTCGAGTTCGTCGTCGCAGCATCACATCTCATCGCTGCTGAACAGTAGAACGAGGGTGCCGTGCCGCGTTTCAAAACGTCCGCGCCGCGCGAAACGAGCCGCGTTCGCTCCACTCCCCGACGCGCCTCCCTCGCTCGCCATGGCCGCGGAGAAGAAACCCGAGAGCGCGCCCGCGCCCGAGACCGCGTCCGGCGGCGGCGCGAGCGTCCTCGCCCTGGAAGGCGACATGCGCGAGCTCGGGGCGCAGCTCGACGACCTGGAGCATCAGCTCCGGAAACAGAAGCACCTGTTCGAAGTTCAGGTGAAGCGCAACGGCGTGGAGCTGCCGCCGCCGTCGCCGCACGAGCTCGCGACCGCGGCCGCGACGGTCGCGCGCGCGGTCTCCGCGGGGAGTCTCGACGACATCGACGCGAAGATCGCCGCCGCGAAGGAGGAGATGGCGGCGCGATTGAAGCGCCAGGACGAGGCGAAGGCGGAGTTCAAGTCGATGAAAGCATCCCTGGAGAAGACCTCGGAACACCTCGCGAAAGCGGAGGTGTACGCGGTGCGAACGCCGAACCTCGGCGGCGTGGAGCCGCCGCAGTGAGCGACGCGCGATAGCGCCGCGGTCGCGGATAGAAACCTAACAATCTCATTAATAGCTACGCGACGCGACGTTTCGTTCGCACGGCGGACGCGGATGCAAACGCGGAGGCGAGCGCCGAGCGACGGGACGGGACGTCGTCCGTCGTCAGCCCCCGCGCTCGACGCGTCCGCCCTTGCTCTGCTCGATGTCCGGCGTCACGGTGACGTACGAAACCTTCATCACGCGCGGCGGCGGCGGCGGCGGCGGCGGCGACGCGTCGTCCCCCACTTCCCCGCCGCCCCCCCCCGCCGTCGCCCCCGTCGCCGCCGCCGTCGCCGCCGCCGCCGCCGTCGCCGTCGCCAGCACCAAGTTTTTCCTCGCCGCGTGCGACATCCGACTCGCCGCGCTGAGCTCGCGCGCGCGCATCCGCTCGTCGCCGTCGCACACCTTCACGGTGAAACACGCGTGGTACGCCATCGGTTCCCCCGGGTACGCGAGGTAATCCGACCCGAACTTGACCCCCGCGGTCATCGTCAACCCGCGCGCGTGCAGATCGGAAAACACCGCGAACCGGCGCCGCTGCGCGTCCGTCCGCGGGTAGCTCCACTCCGGGGACGACGCGTCCGGCCCCGCGTCGGCGTCGTCCGGCGCGTCCGAGGGCGCGCGCAGTGGGATCTCCACGAACGACGTGTTCAGGACGCGCTCCCACCCCGCGTCCGCGTCCGACGCGAGGCTCTTTGTCGTCTTCAGACGCTTCTGATTGTGGAAACCGCCCTTGGGCTTGACGCCCCAGCCTTTGTTCGCGACGGTCGGTCTCTTCGCCGCGGGCGGCGGCGGCGCGCGTTCCGCCGCGGTCGCCGCGGCCGCGACTGCGTCGCGCGCGACGTACAGCGTGACCCACCCTCTGTGAAGCGCGAGCGTGACTTCCTCCGGGGACAGACGCGCGGGGAGACCGTGCACGGAATCTTGCTGCCTAAACCCGGGCAGGCCGCCGACGAGCGCGCCGACGACGCGATGCCGCGTCCGCAGCCTGTGGTACTCCTCCGCGGACCACACGAGCCCGGTGTCGTCGTCGCTGACCTGAACGCGGATCGGTCCGTCCGCCGTCGCCATGACCGCCCGCCGCGCGCCGCGAGAGTGAGACGACCGACGCGGCTCGGAGGCCTAACAACGATGACAATGGAAGTCGGCGGCGACGAGGAGTCGAGTTTCGCACGGTACTGTAACAGCGGCGGCGGACGCGAAGTTCGCGGAGTGTTCGTTCTCGCGTGTTGATTGATTACGTCTTTCTTCTGAGGTGCCATCTCCTCCCGGGCTATCGCACACACCCCCCCGAACGCGTCAGTCCTGGGGCGGGAACCGCTTGTCCGTGCTCCAGTCGAACCACTCCGCGCCCGTCCACTCCAGCGCCCGGCGAATCCGCGAGGGGTCGTACCGTTCGTACCCGCCCTCGCCGACGGGCGCTTTCAGAAACGCCACCTGAACGTCCGTTACCGTCTTCGATATGACGTACCCGGTCCACCACCCGTCGGCGTACGGGCCCTCGATGAACGCCCCGGTCGGCCATTCCTTCTTCTGGTCCCCAGGGTTGTACCCCGGCGGCCGCGTCGCCGGCCGCACGCGCGCGCGGGGGACGAGCCGAGACGTGTACTCTTCGATCAACGGCGCCACCGACTTCGCCGTCTTGATCGCTTCCCTCGCCGCCTTCTCCGCGGCCGGCGGCGCCTTCTTCCCCGAGGCCGCGTCCGCCGCCTTCTTCGCGCCTTTTTTCTTCGCGTGTGTCGCGCTGATCGGGATCCACTCTTTGAGCATCCCGTCCTTCTCGTCCTCCGTGGCTTGCATGTCCTTGTACTCCATGTAGACCAACGCGACGCCCTTGCACTCCGCGAGGTCCAACACGACGCAGTCGAACCACGAGCCGCGATATCCTTCCTCGTACGACGTCACCTCGACGCGCTGTCCAATCTTGAACGCGTACGCGGCGCCCGCCTCGCCGGTCGTCGTCGTCCTCGCCGCCGCCGCCGCGTCGTCGCGCGCGCGCTTCGTCCCCGCCGTCGCCGTCGCCGCCGCCGCCGGGCCGACGCGACGTTTGACGCTCGCGTCCGCGCTCGATCGAATCTCGAACAGGTACCCCGCGATCGAGATCGTGTCGTTCACCGCGAGCCGTTGCTTCGCCCCGAGCGGCGTCTTCTGGCCGTTCACGTACACGCGGCTCTCCTCCCCGGAGGACGTGTCCGTGACGAACAGCTCGCCCGACGGCTTGTCGTAGCGAATCACCGCGTGCTCGGTGCTGATCGCCTCCCCGGACTCGCCGGACGGCTGCTCGCCCGCCATCGGCGCCGGCTGCCCGAGCTCCTCGATCCGGATGTCCGCCTCCTCGCCTGCGGGAGGGAGATGAGGGGGGGTGCGGGGGAGGGGAGGGCGTGAGCGTCGCGTCGCGTCCGACGGCGGGGTGGTTTGAAAAAAAAAAAAGCGAGCGCGTCGCGATCGCGATCGCGCGCGCGGCGGTCGCGCGAGATCGGGCGCGCACCTTTGCCGATGACCGTCGCGGTGTTCGTCAGCGCGTACAGCTCCGTGGACGCGTCGATGTGGATGTGCGGGTACCGCACGTTGTCGATCCCGATCGACAGCGAGAACGGCGTCGGGGCATCGACGCCCATGGCGACGACGACGACGGTTCGGTTCAAATCGACGCGCCCGCGGGTCCGCGGATCTCGGACGCGGCGAGCGCGGCGCGACCGCGGGGTCGCGTTCGGTCGAGGCCGGCCTTCGCGGCGCGAGACGCCGCCCGCCGCGGTCGGATCGCGCGCTCGCGGCAGCGTCCCGCTCGCGCGGATGTGACGACGACGACGGCGCCCGCGAGCTCAAGAAGACGAGACGTCGCAATCGAACGCGACGTGTACAGGTAAACAGCTTGCGCTTAGACGAACCCGAACGACGTTCATTCGCGAACGCTTCCTATTCAACGCTACGAGCTACCAGAGATCAGCGCCTCCGGCGCTTCGGCCGTCCGCCCTCTTCTTCGTTCCCCTCCGCCGCCGTCTCCGTCTCCTTCGCCGTCTCCTCGCCCTCCCTCGCTCGCTTCTCCGCCTCGAGCTTCTTGATGGCGAAGTCGAGCTCGGCGTTCTTTCGGCACCCCTCGTAAAACTCGCGCTCGAGCTTCTGGAGCTTCTCCCCGACCGCGGTCTGTCTCAGTTTTCGTCGCGCGTTGAGCTCCGCGGTCGCCGCCTTTTGCTCCGCGATCTCGCGGTCGACCCTGACGCGACGAGGACGGGAGAGATGGGGACGGGCGGTGAGAACGGGAATCGATCGATCGGCGGGAGGAGGAGGAGTTTTTTTTTCTCGAGGGGGAGATCGAAATTTAGGGTTCCCCAGCGCTCGCGCGATCGCGCCTCGCCCCGAATGAAACGAACATCAGACGCCGCGCGCGCGCACCTCTTGATCGCCGCCTCCAGGCTCGCGTTGTACGCCCTCCACTGGTTCGGCCCGTACTTCAGCATGAGCTCCAGGTTCTGTATCCGCAACGTCTGATGCTCGAGCTGCGCCTTCGCGTTCTTGACCGCAGCCTCCCACGCCTCCGGGTCGTCCCTCTTGCTCTTCGGCGGCGGCGGGAGCGAGTACCGCGTCGAGTCCGGCGGAGGCATCTTCATGATCCCTTTCTCCACCCTCTCCATCTCTTTTTTAATCATCGGGCAGTCCTTATACGTCATCTCGTACGCGGGCTTCATCTCGGCCAGGTAATCCTTCGGGCGCTTCGTCATTCGACGCATCTCCTCCTGGACCATGCGATCCGCGAGCGGGCGCCAGTCGGGGGGGAGGACGTCCGCGTACGGAAGCGCGTCGATTAAGGGATTATGTTTCCTGATGCCCTCGGCATCGTCGAGGAGCATCGGCGTCGACGACATGGTCGCGGTCCGTCGCGCGCGCGCGAGTGACGAAGATTCGCGTTTCCCGCGCGGAGTGCAAGTCGTCGCGTGCAGCTGACAAGTCGCCGCTGTGAAAAAATTAAATTACACCGACGCGCGCTTCGTCAACGTCAACAACAGCCGCTCGCTGTCGTTGTGCCTCCCCTCTCCCGCGCGCGTCTTCAGCTCATCCACCGGCGTCGGGTCCCCCTCCAGCCCAGCCTTCTCCGCGGCGACCCAGAAGTGATTCAACGTTCCCCAGCAGCAGTCGCCGCGGTCCTCGAAGACGACGAAAATCTTCGTCCGCCCCGGCGCCGCGAGCGCCGACATCGTGTCCGCCAACATCTGCATCTCCCCTCTGCTCTGCGAGTAGCACACGTCGCTGCCTATGATCATGTGCGGCGCCTCACCGCCCGGGAGCGTCTTCAGCAGCGCCTCCGCGACCTCCGCCGCGGTCGGCGTCCCCTCCGGCTCCTCGTCCACGTCCGACTCGGATTCCGATTCCGATTCCGATTCCGATTTCGATTTCGATTTCGATTCGTCCGCCGTCGCCGGCGCCGCCGCCGCGCCCCTCCCCCGCCGCCGCCTCCACCCCGCGCGTCGCCACCACAGCTCGTGCACGGTCGCGTTCTCGAGCCCGGACGCGCGAACGTTCCGCTCCGCCGCCGCGGTCGTCGCGTCCGTGATGGCCACGCGCTTCGCCCCCAGCGCCGCGCACGCGAGCCCCGCGAGTCCGAGCCCCGCGCCGAGCTCGACGACGACGGTGTGCGGCGTCACCGCGCCGTCGGTCGCCGCGTCGATCGCGGCCGCGTCGCCGTCGACGCCGCCGACGACGGACGCGCACTCCTCTTCCTCTCTCGTCCTCCTCCACGCCGCCGTCGCGTCGCACAGGATGTCCGCGAGGGTGTACGCGCACGGCCAGATGACCGTGCTCGTGCCCGGGAGGAACGACCTGCTCGTGCTGCCGTCCTGGCGCACGGCGACGACGACGCCGTCCCCGAGCGCGGCGTGCTCGAACGTCAGCGACGGCGAGCGCTGGTCGACGCCGTGGATCTTGAAGAGCGCCGCGGCCTCCTTCGCGGCGACGTCGTCGGCGTCGTCGGACATGACCGGCGCGCGTCGCACGCGGCGGCGCGCGCGCGGAACTGATGACCCGATGAAGAAAGCTCGGCGTCGCGTCGGCGCGCCGTCACGTCGCTTTCGGACGCGACGAGAAGACCCGAGCCCGACGCGAGGCATCGCGCAGTGCGCCCCGCGCGAGCGCCTTCCTCCTCCCCCGCGGCGCCGATGCCGACCCCGGAGGAGACGCTCGCGGCGTGCGCGGAAGTCCTCGCCGGCTTGGACGCCGACACGATCGAGTACGTCGCCGGCGGCGTCGAGGACGCGCTCGACGAGTTCAACGAGTTCGAAGATTTAGTCGCGGGGTTCGCGAGGGACGAGCTCTGCGGCGGCGACGACGCGCGCGCGTCCGCGTTGGCGCGCGAGCTGTGGGAGAAACTCAAGGGAGGAGGAGGAGGAGGAGGAGGAGGAGGGGATGCCGCTTCCGCCGCGGCGGCCGCGGAGAAGCGCGCGCCGATATCCCTCGGCGGCGGCGTCTCCAAGCTCGAGGCGCGGACGATGCGCGATACCGAGGCGCTGCGCTCGCAGTTCGCCGCGCAGGAGATCACATACGACCACGCGCCGTCGGAGGGCGGCGCCGCCGGAGCGAGCGCGAAGGAGCGCGCGCGAGCGGAGCAGAAACAGCGGTACCTTGCGGCCGAGGCGGCCGCGCAGGCGGCGGAGCTCGCCGCGGAGCTGGAGGCGGCGCGAACGCGCGCGGCGCGGCTGCGTCTCTCCGGCGACGCGACCGGCTCGCGGCTCGCGACGATCGAGCTCGGGCCGTTCACGCTGCCGAACCCCGGCGGGGGCGCGGACCTCCTCGAGAGCGCGTCGCTGACGCTCGCGCCGGGGCACAGGTACGGGCTCATCGGACGGAACGGCAAGGGCAAGTCGACGCTGCTGAAGTTTTTGGCGTCTAGGCGCGTCGGCGGGTTAGACCCGTCGACCTCGGTGCACTACGTCTCTCAGGAGGTGTCCCTGACGGAAGCGCAGGAGGGATCCAAGCCCATGGACTTGGTCGTCGAGGCGGACGTCGAGCGACGCCTCCTGCTCGCGGAGGCGAAAACGCTAGAGGATAAGGCGTCATCACGTTCCGGCGGCGGCGAAGACGACGCGAGCGAAGACCAAAAACGTCTCGCGGACGTCCACGAACGACTCCTCCAGTGCGACGCGGACGGCGCGCCCGGCCGCGCCGCCGCGCTCCTCCACGCGCTCGGGTTCCCGGAGCACCTCTCTGGGAGAGAGATGCGCGCGCTGTCCGGGGGATGGCGCGTCCGAGCCGCGCTCGCGGCGGCGCTCTTCGCGAAACCAGGTGCGTTCTATACAAAAGTTTTTCACCCGTCGCCCGGTTTCAACATTTGATCGCGTCTCCTTTCAACTGACTGGTGAACTTTTTTAGACGTCCTGCTTCTCGACGAGCCGACGAATCACCTCTCCATCGCCGCGGTGCTGTGGCTCTCGAGAGAGCTCAGCGCGTCGCCGACGTGGCGGACGCGCGTCGTCGTCGTCGTGTCGCACGACCGGCACTTTCTAGACGCGGCGACGACGGATTCGCTGCACATCAGCGGCGTGGCGAAGCGGCTCACGGCGCATCGGATGAATTACAGCGCCTGGGCGGATAAGAGAGAGGAGCAACAGAGAGCGCTTCGTAAACGCGTCGCGACGAGGGAGGAGAAGAAGGAGAAGCTCGCCGCGTACGCCGGGCACGGGTTTAAGTACGGCGGGTCGTCCTCGCAGATCAACATGATGACGCGTAAAGCGAACGAGGCGGCGAAATTGGACGAGGAAGCCGCCGCGGAGGCGCGCGAGCTCGCGGACCTCAGCGAAGACGCGGAGCTGCCGCTGACGCTCGCCGCGGGGGGCGAGTTACGCGGACCGATCGCGACGCTCGAGTCCGTGGCGTTCAAGTACCCGGGAGCGACGAACACCGAGCTCTTCGCGGACGTCGACATGTCTCTGGACAGCGCGTCGAGGGTGTGCCTCCTCGGCGAAAACGGCGACGGGAAGACGACGCTCGTGAAGGTCATGCTCGGCGTACTCGCGCCGACGCGAGGGAAAGTCACGACCAACCCCGGCGCGAGGATCGCGCTCGTGAACCAGCACCACGCGGATCAGCTCGAGTACGACAAGACGCCGCTCGCGTTCATGCTCGAGAAGTTCCCCGGAGACGGGAGCGCGACGCGCGAGCGGGAGCTGCGGTCGCACCTCGCGTCCTGCGGCGTCGACGCCGCGCAGCAGCTCGTCCCCGCGGGCGCGCTGAGCGGCGGGCAACGCAGCCGCGTCGCGCTCGCGGCGACGTCGTACTCGCGGCCGCACTTGCTGATTCTCGACGAGCCGACGAACAATTTGGACCTGGAGGCGGTGGCGGCGCTCGCGGACGCGGTTGAAAACTTTCGAGGCGGCGTCGTTCTCGTCTCGCACGATCAGTACTTCGTGCGGAGGGTCGCGCGGGAGGTGTACGTGGTCGGGAAGGGGAGGGTTCGGAGAGAAGAGAGCTTCGACAGTTACCGCGCCGCGATGGAGAAGAAGCTCGCGGCGGCGAGCAAGTGACGAGGCGAGGCGCGTCCTTTCGATTTAGCTCATCATCGCGCCGTAACGAAAGATATAGCGACTACTTATAGGCGCGGCGAGCGAAGGCATCGCGCGACGTGCGGCGCGCGATTTACCACTCGAAGTCCGCGGCCGGGTTCTCCTCGTCCTCGTCATCCTCCTCGTCGTTGAAGAGGCCGCGCTCGCGGAGGTACTGAATCGCCGCCGCGAGCGTGTTGTCCTTCATCTTGAGGTAGAAGAAGCCCTTGTCCGTGTCCTCGACCGCGGTGCACGTCGCCCACGTGTCCGTGGACGCGTCGTCGGGGGTCCCGCCGACGCCGCCGCCGAGGTCGGTCTCGCACACGGACTTCATCCACTCGATCGCGTTGATCTTCTCCTTGTGTTCCTCCGTGACGTACGCGACCATGGCGATCTTCTTCTCCGGTTCGTTCTCGGAGATGATGAGCTTCGAGATGTGGCCGGAGCACCCTTTGCGCTCCTCCGGGTCTTCCGGGTCCGGGACGGCGTTCATGCCCTCCATCGCGGCTTCGAGGAGGATGATGTCCCCCGCGGAGTTTTGCATGCGCGTGCAGAAGCACGTGAGACCGGACGTGTCCGCGGCGCCCTCGATCTCGACGCCCTTCTTGCCGCCCTCCTTGAACGCCTTGGCGACGACCTTGTCCTTTTTGCCAGCCGCGAGCGCGGCGTCGCGCTTGGGGAATTCCTGACGCGGCGAAGCGACGCGACGCGAGCGCGCGAGGGAGGAGAGGGATGCGGGAGGGGGACGCGGACGGTCAGCTCGGAAGAGCGCGCGCGCGTCGACGCGACGGGCGGAGGGGCGCGACGCGAACTTCCGCGTCGATCGGGGGGGGGGTCCGACGTCGATCGATCGCGGCCGGCGCGGACGATCGACCGATCGCGGCGACGCCGCGCGCGCGCGGGGTCGCGACGACGCGATCACCCCGCGGCGGACTCGCGCGATGCGTGAAGCGCTCGACGCACCTTGGTGGGCTCGGGCATCGTGAGTGTGTGAGGCGTCGACGTGCGGGTGCGCGCGCGTGAAAGACCGAGCGCGGACGGCGCTTCGCCGCCGCCAAGAGCAGGCAGGAATCGTCGTCTCTCGACCGTCGGCTCGGTCGACCGAGAGCTCGCTTTCGGCGGTTTCAAACGCGCGCGCGTTTGAAACCGCCGTTTGACCGGTGTTGATCGCGCGTCAGCATCGCTCACGCGCGCCGCGTCATCGACAGATGCGAAACGCGATGCGAGCGTTTGAACGCGGCTCGCCGCGGACACTTCCGCGGTCGCCCGGCGCCATGCCCGACGCGCTCTCGCCCGACGAGCTCAAGGCTGAGCTCGAGAACCTCACGAGACTCGCGGGGGTGAACCTCTCCCCCGAGGTGTTCGACGTCCTCCTCGAGCTCACGCGCATGGACGTCGTCCCCACGGCGACCGCGCAAGTGCTCAAGTCGCTGTGCACGAAATCGCAGCTCCGCGCGAGCTACGGCGGGAAGTGATGATGACAGGAGGGGGACTGAAGCGACGACGACGACGACGAGGAGGAGGAGGAGGAGGACGACGGCGGCGAGGAACGGACGTCGCCGTCGAAGGAAAAGGCGGGACGGGGAGGGGACGCGGTAGGTAGCCATCACGTAGCGACGGGTAGACGATGTCACGCGAGGAGAGCGAACAGAAAAGTCGCAGTCGCGCGTCGAAGATACGCGCCAGCCTGTCTCTCGAGATTCGCCATTCGCACCATGCGCGCGCTGTCCTCCTCGCCCGTCCTCACGTCCCGGGGTTCGCTCGCGAACGCGCGCGCCCTCGCGCGCGCCCCACGCGCGGCGTCCAACGCGTCGCGCGGTCGCGACCTCGCGGCGATCACGCGCGCGGGCTGGTTCGAGAACGACAAGGACAAGGCTGGTCGAGACACGACCTGGGAGGCGCAGCAGGAGATATTGCGGAAGCGCCGACGCGGCGTGAACGTCGAGTCCGAGATCTCGTCGCGGCGCAAGAAAGTCAGCGGGTTCCTCAAAGGGACGCTCTCGAAGGAGGAGACGGAGGCGATCAACAAGAAGAACCGCGACAAGGCGAACGAGCTGTCGAAGGAGGCGTTCAAGGGGCAGAAGGGATGGATATCCATCCCCGGCATGGCGATCGGCATGCCCGAGTTCGACGGCGGCGAGCGGTTCGACCTGCGCGGGCCGTACGCGGACGAGGGGTGGGTCGACCCTGACGACGAGGGCATCTCGAACCCGTTCAAAGGGCTGTTCGGGGGTGGGAAGAAGAAGAAAGAAGAGGAGAAGCCGAAGCCGAAGCCGAAGAAGAAGGGCTTCTTCGGGCGGTGACGACGACGACGCGACTCTCGTCGCGGGCGTACCGTAACAACTTATCCTAGTCGACGATCTATCTCGTATCCACGCGCGCGCGCGCGACGAACCCAAAACACAACTACGGCGTTAGCTAGCTAGAATCTCATCTCGTCGTCGCGTCTACGGCCTCCCGCGCGAGTCTGTGACGCGCGCCGACGACGACGCGCGTCACAAGTCGCCGCCGCGCTCGTACTGAAGTATCGTCACGATGATGACGACGACCATCGCGCACATCATGATCGCGCCCATCACCACCGGCCCCGTCGGGTCGTGAAACGCCACCGTCCTCCGCGCCGCGATGGCCCGCCCGCGCCACACGAACGTCCACGTCGCGTACGCGCACAAGCACACGCTCGCGCTGAGCATCGTCATCGCGATCACCAGCGGCGCGGTGCTTCGATCGTTCCCGTGAACGTCCTTATGCGGCGCCCCAGACGGAGACCCTCCGAGGTGGACGCCCACGAGCGCGGCGCCGATCGTGCCGATGAGCACCGCGGTGTGGAGCCAAGAGAGAAACGTCCGCTCGTTGGCGAAGAACGTCTTCGGCTCGACGCGCATCGGCACGCTGCGCGGGACCGAAGGCGCGCGACCGCCGCCGGCGCCGGCGCGACCGCCGCCGGCGCCGCCGCCGGGGAGCCGTCTGAAGAAGCGCTTGACGTCCGCGAAGAACCCGGCGCCGCGGCGACCGGCGGCTTCGCGCATGCCCTCCGCCTCCGCGCGCGCGTCGCCGATGAGGTCCAAGACCACGTGCCGCGAAGCGTCGCGCCCTTCCAAGTCGCGCGCGAGGAGCAACGGGTGCGTCAGCTCGCCGTCCTCGTCGCTCCCTCGGCTCCCTCGCCGCTTGCCGGCGTCCGTCCTCGCGTCCGCCGCCGCGGCCGCGGCCGCGCCCGTCGCGGCGTCGCCGGCGCCCGGGCGGGGGACGCGCGCGGCGCCCGTCTCCACGCTCGCCGAGTGCTGCAGCGAATCCCGCAAGCTCACGTCGTCGACCCAGTACGGCACCTCTTGCGCGGTGTCCGGAAACAAGACCGCGCAGCCGTGCATAAATTTGGAAAACTTGTGCACCTCTGTCAGCGCGCCGCTCGCGACAAGCTCGTTGACCCAGTCCGGCGCGGCGACGCCCTCGCCGAGCGCGAGCTTAATCTCGAGCACCGCGTGAGGAAACCGCGTCACCTCCGTTCGGTGCAACGGCACGCTCGGGTCGCGGTACCACCGCTCCAACGCCGTGCACGACGGCCCTCCCGCGGGATTCTCCACGAGCATCGCGAGGGACGTGTCCAGCGAGCAACGCACGCTCGCGTCGTACGGCACCTGAAACGCGGTCCGCATGTACACCGTGCGAAGCGTCGGCTGCAGCTGCTTGCTCTCGATCGCTCTCTGCACCTCCGTGAACAGCGTCTTGATCTTCTTCAGCTCCGCGCCGGACGTTGGTCGCTCGCGATCGTTCTTCGCGTGCTGCGCGCGAAGCCGCGACTCCTCCTTCTCCCACGTGTGCTTACATTGGAGATACGGCACGATGTACGCCGCCGGAAGCGCGAATCGCTCCTTGACGCTCTCCTCCCCGGTCCAGCTCTCCCGGTGCGTCTTCCTCTCGACGTACACCGACCCCGTCGGCGCGGGGCCGTACCAGCGCAGCCGAATGGCGATCGCGCGCGGCGCCTTCTTCAGTCTCGCGTGGTACAGCTCCAAGTGCACGTTGTCCAGGTACACCGAGTTGGTCATCTGGCTGTCCGCGTGCGAGGGCAACGTCAGCCCCGCGAAGCCCGGCGCGACGCCGTCGCCGCTCTCGCCCGCGGCGGCTTCCACCAGTCCCTTCACGCGCTCGCGCTCGACGAGAAACACGGGCAAGTGCTGCGCGATGTTCTGCTTCACGCCGCTGACGTCCTCGGGCGATACCCAGTACTTCCGCGTCGTTCGGACAAAGTCCTGCGCGCCGTCGCGCTCGCTCGCCTTCTTCTTCTTCCCGTTCGCCTTCCGCGTCCGGTCGCCGCGCAGAAGCTCGAACAGGTCCGACATCTGCACGACGAAGACGCTCGAGTGATCCGCGCGAATCCACGGCAGCTGATGCAGACGTTCGAGGTAGTACCGACAGCACACCGTGTGGGGGCAGAGTTTGTCGTGTTTCTTCAAAATTTTGTAGCACGCCATCATGTTCAGGTTCGCAAACTTCTCGATGCGAAGGAACTCGTCCTGGACGCGCTGCAGGCGTTCTCGCAGCGCGTCGACGACGCGCGTCGCTTCCTCGACCACGTCGCCGCTGAGCGTGCTGAAGGGCGACCCCTGGTCCTGGTCTTCGCCGCTCGACGCCGACGCGGACCCGGACCCGTTCTCGCCGCCCTCCGCGGCGGCGGCGGCGACGACGGAGGACACGGACTCGAGCGACGCGATCGAGGAGGTCTTCGACCCGCACGTCGCCGCGATCGTCGGGAGGTCGCGCCTGTGGACGAACGATCGATGACGTGCGACGATGAGCGATGGATCGGCGGTCGAAGAGGAGAAGCGAGGGAGGCGACGACGACGACGGAATAAAATAAACGTACGACGACGAGACGGGACGGGAAGGCGCAGAGTCGCGCGAGATCGGCATGTCGCGCGTCGCACCTCACGGCGTCGTCGATCTCCGCCGCGCAGCTCGCGACGTCGTCCTTGAGCCTGGAGAGCGTGCTCGTGACGAAGTCCCGAACGCGATCCATGTCGTCGTCCAGCAGTTCGAAGAACCGCGTCTCCGTCGCCTGCGCGCTCGCGTTCCCCTGCGGCTTGCGCGGCGATAAAGTGAGCGAGAACTGCGCGAGCGATTTCGGCGGGGTGAACCTCTCCGCCCCCGCGTCGTCCCCGAGCGCGGCGGCCTCATCCCGAGACGCGACGATCGCCTTCAGGACCTTCTTCAGGGCGTTATACCTCACGTAGTGCTCCTTCCATTCCCTCACCGCGTTCTCATCGAGGTATTGCCCGAACTTCATCTCAGATCGCGCTCTCGGAACTGACGCTTTCGAAAGGGCATCACCGCGTTGTGGCCACGGAATATTCCATTTCCGCGCCAACTTAACTTTCTGACGTATTCGTACGTTAAATATACATATGCGCAAACAGTAAGGAGAGTGACGCCAAAAGTACAAGTCGGAGATCTGACGCGCGAAACGAAAAAGGTGCTGTTCGCGCGCCGAGCGTCGAGCAGAGCTCGAGCTATCTCGACGAGACAGTGTTCGCGGCAGCGCGCGGACGAACGACGATGCGGACGACGACGCGCGCGGCGGCGGTTCTCTTCGCCGCGCTCCTCGCGGTCGCGTCCGCGCCGACGCCCTGCGCCGCGCTCGCGCGCGCGTCGCGCGGGGCGACGGCCGCGCTGTCCCCGCGCTCCCCGACGACGTCGACGATCTCGAAGAAGAAGCCCCGCCCGCTCCCCGTCCCCTCGGGCGTGCACATCGCGCTCGGTGCGAACGACGACGAGATGACGATCACGTGGCAGACGTCGAGCTCCGCCGGAAGCGTCGTGCAGTACGCCCCGTTCGGAGGGGGGAACGAAGAACTCGTCCTGAGCGCGACGGGGGAGGAGCGCGCGTTCGTGGACGGCGGGAACGCCTCGGGGACGAGATTCATCCATCACGCGACGCTGCGCGAGCTCCGCCCGGGAGAGAAGATCGCGTACCGCGTCGGCGACCCGGTGTCGCGCGCGTGGAGCGAGCGGTTCTGGTTCTTCCACAAGCGCTCGCCGGAGCAGATACGAGCCGGCCCGCCGCTGCGGATGATCGCCGTGTGCGACGTCGGGCACTCCGACTCCACCGGCGTGTTAGATCTCGTCCGCGCGGAGGTGCACGGCGTCGACGGCGCCGACGCGGACGTCGCGGAGGCGCGTCCCGACCTCCTCGTGCACTGCGGCGACTTCGCGTACGATCTGGACAGTCGCGACGGGCGCACGGGCGACCGATACATGGACGACATCCAGCCCATCGCGGCGTACGTGCCGTACATGGTATCCCCGGGGAACCACGAGCGCGCGTACAACTTTTCGCACTACAAGGCGCGGTTCCGCATGCCCGGCGTCGGCGCGGAGACGGAGACGCAGAACCACTACTACTCGCTCGACATCGGACCGGTGCACTTGGTGGCGTGGAACTCGGAGGTGTTCTTCTGGGGCGAGTACTTCGACGCGGCGTACGTGAACAAGATGTACGACTGGCTCGAGGCGGATTTAGCGGCGGCGAACGCGAACCGAGCGAAGACGCCGTGGATCGTCGTCCACGGCCACAGGCCGATGTACTGCGCGAAAGCGACGAAGGGGTACGCGTACGCCGCGGAGGAGGAGAGTCGACGAGGGGGATGGTTCACGCGTGCGATAACGTCCGGGAAGAGGGCGTTAGGTTTAGGAAAGAAACACAACCACGCGGACGATAAGCCGACGTGCTCGTGGACGAACGAAGCCGTCCGAAGAGGCATCCCTTCGTGGTGCGAGGACGAATACAGAGACGGAGCGCTCGGCGCGTGCGGCGCGAGAGAGGCGACGGAATTCCTGGGAGAGGCGTCGGCGTCGGCGTCGGCGTCGGAATCGCAGCGGTCGATATTCCCGATCGAGGAGCTCTTCTACGACCACGGCGTCGACTTGCACTTCAACGGGCACGAGCACGACTACGTGCGGTATTACCCCGCGTATCGCGACGAAGTCGCGGGCGGAGAGAACGTCACGTTCGAGCGGTACGTGAACCCCCACGCGACGGTGCACATCACCACCGGCAGCGGCGGGAACGACGAGATGGACAGCGGCGCGAAGTTCCCGAACCCGCCGAGCCGGGGAAGGTGCACGCACGACGACGCCGCGGCGTGGTGCGCGTTTCAGAGCGGGTGGGGCCCGAAGAAGAAGAGCGGACGCAGCGCGGATTTCACGTACGGCGTCGTCTCCGTCGACGGCGACGGAACGTCGCTGGAGTGGCGGCAGTACAGCGCGTACGACAAGGGGCTCGAGATCGATCGGTTCAGGATCGAGACGAGCGCGCACGGGCCGTTCAAGGACAGGATTAGGAGGGGGGGGGGGACGACGGTCGACGCGGCGGCGCGTCCCTGAGACGTCGTCTAGCCAGCCGGGGACGCGCGAGCGCGGCGAGGCGGCGAGGCGGCGATCGCGATCGATACCGCAGCACGCATTATGATATCACACGCATCACGACGCACGCAAACACGCCGCGCTCACGCGCCCATGTTCTGCGGAATCCACAGCGCGCACCCGCCCTCCGTGCACGCGCTCGCCGCGAGCATCATCCCCGGCGCCCACCGAATCGAGCTCGGGATCCCCGCGTGCCTCGACCCCCACACCGCCACCTTCCCCCCCGTCTTCGCGCTCCACACGTGCACGCGGCTGTCCGCGCCCCCGGACAACACGTACTGCCCGTCCGGGGTCCAGCACGCCTCGAGGTTGTTCCCGGACGCCCCCGCGGCGTCCTTCCCCTGCCCCATCCCGCCCGTCTCCGCGCCGACGTTGATGCGCATAGTCTCGTCGCCTTCGAACGCGTTGAGCACGTACATGACCCCTCCGGCGACGCACAGCAGAAACTCCCCGTCCGGCGAGAACTTCGCGCACGTGACCCGCGGCGCGTGCCCGGTGACCCTGTCCTTCGCGCCCACTCGAAACGTCGTGAACGGCCCCTGGTCGTACCCTCGCGCATCGTACAGCTTCACCTCGCCGTCGTCCGTCGCGGCGGCGAAGATGAGCCCCTGCGCGTCGCACGCCACCGACGGCGTCGTCGCGCATCGGATCACGCCGTTGCAGACGTTCGTGCGCAGGTCCCACAGGCGCACGGTGCGATCCTTGGCCGCGCTGAGGAACTGGTCGGTCTTCGCGGACATCGCGACGGAGACGACCTGGTCGGCGTGCCCGACGAAGTACCGCAGGTACGTGTTGTCGTGGAGCGAGTGGTATCGCAGCGCGTGATCCTTCTGCGGCTGCGCCGACGCGGTCTTCACCTTGGACGCGTACACGACCGCCTGGGACGCGTGCGTGAAGGTGACGCACGAGCAGCCGTACTTTTTGGAGTAGAGCGTCTTCAGGAGCTGCCCGGTGTTCGTGCGGTACAGGTGCAGCGCGTCGTCGTCGCCTGCGGGGGAGGAGGGATCGGGATCGGATGTGAGATGGGGTTGGCTGGCGCGGGATCGGATCGGCGGCGAGCGAGAGAGGCGAGTCCTTAAGGATCGGCGTCCACCACGCGAACGCGGTCGTATGGGGACCAGTGTATAGGGTGATCGCGACGGGTCGGTGGATGGATTCGAGGGCGGCGCGCGGGGCGCGGGGGGGATCGCGCGACGGGAGGGACCGCGCGCGTGGACGTCGCGCGCGCGCGAAGGCGCCGTCGTCGCGATCGCGGGGATGAACCCGCGGCGCGATCGGACGATCGCGCGCGCGGGAGCGGGAAGTCTCGACGCGCGCCGCGCGGGTCGAGGCGAGCGGCGAAAAGCGGAGCGAGATCCGCGGACGCACCGACGGTGACCATCACGTCCTCGGTGTGATGGAAATCGAGCGAGTTGATGGGGCCCGTGTGGTCTCGAAAGAACCGGCCGGGCGCCATCGACTTGATCTGCTGCTCGTCCAGGAGCACCATCGCGCTCGTCGCGCGCGCGAGAGGGCGGCGGAGATGAGATGAAGTGGCCGCGGCGAAATCGTCGCCGCGGTTTTGCAGGCGAGAGGACGAAGGACGAGTCGGCGGTTTTCGGAGTGACCGACGACGGACGCCGGCGAGGAGAGAACCTCATCGCGCGCGCGAGAGGGAAAGAGTCTCGGCGTTTCTGTTTAATACGTGCATTGCAAAAGCCGCGGACGCCATCGCGGCGATGGCGTCCGCGGCGTGTTGGCTCTCGTTATCATACAAGCGGAGGTCGCGTCCGATCCGTCCCTCGACGGATCCGTCCGATCCGATCGGGGCGATCCGTCCGATGCGTCCACGCACTCGATCCGCGTCCGCCGTCCCTCTCCTCCGGGCTTCTCTCCTCTCCTCCACCGCACCGCGCGTCTCTTAATCCTTGGACTTCTTCTTGCCGACGCGGTACGACCCGGTCACGATCGCGTGATCCCGCTCGTACGGCTCCAACGTCAGCTGCTCCGCGGGCTTGAACTGCTCCTGCTGCAGCTTCTTCACTTCGCGCGCGAAAACCGCCTCCGCCGGCACCGTGGAGTCGATGCAGTTCGCCTTGATGGAGATGATAAAGTTCCCGCCCGTTTTCAAGAAGTACTGCGCGTTGAGCGCGACGATTCTCGCCTGGTCCGGCTGCGCGACGTCCGCGAAGATCGTGTCCACCATGCCGACGAGCATGCGGTACCGCATCGGGTGCCTCGCGTCCTCGATGATTGGAATGACGTTGGTGCGCTTCTTCGCCATGTTCACCAAGTCGCGGCCGGGGCGGTGAGAGAACTCCACGGCGTAGACGCACCCGGTCGGGCCGACGACGTCGGAGCAGTGCGACACCGTCGTCCCCGCGGCGGCGCCGAGGTACAGAAGCTTCGTCCCGGGTTTGATGTGCACGTTGTCGAGGCCGCCGAGGATGCCCGCGGCGACTTTCGACCGAAACGGGTTCCACACGCGGTACTCCGTCTTCGTGCCGTCCTCCTCGTCCACGGAGATTCTCTTCTCGCCGTACACGGACTCGCCGACGACGAGGTTCTTCGTGACGAGCGCGTCTTCTTTCCCGCGCGCGACGAAGATGCCCTCGTGGCGGTGCTTCTCGACGACAACCTTCGCGCCGCCCTTCATGCCGCCTCTGCCGCCTCTGCCGCCGCGGCCGCCGCGGCCGCCGCCTCTGCCGCCGCGTCCGCCATCGCGGCCGCCTCTGCCGCCGCCGCGTCCGCCGCGTCCGCCATCGCGGCCGCCTGACGATGAGAGGGAGAGAAGAGAGCGAGGGGACGGGCGACGGTCGTTTGGTGAGATAAACGATCGGGGACGGATGGTGGATTGTCGTTTGCGAATTCGTCCGTCGCGACTCCCGCGGGAATGAATTTCCGTGACGAAGCGTGCGCGCGGTGGGCCGCGCGCGACGCGCGCAACGCGCGCGCGACGATCGCGCGCGCAATTCCGAGATCACGAGAGGGATGAAGACGCACCGCGACCGCCGCGACCGCCGGGGGAGAAGCCACCGCGGCCACCGCCTCTGCCGCCGGGGCTGAAACCTACGGGATGATCGAAGGGAAGACGCGCGAGAGGAGGGAGAATTCGTTCGGTCAGACGGCGGCGGGGCGGCGGGTTCGAGCGTCGCGCGGCGAGGTCCGAGGGGGCGCGAACGACGCGCGCGATCGCGTCGGCGTCATCGCGCGCGCACGATGACGCGCGACGCGTCGCCACGCGCGCGCGACGGCGCGTCCAACGCGACCTCGCGCGTTCCCGGACGCCGCCGAGGACGCGCGTTCGTTCGCTTTTTTTTTTGCGGCGAATCGACAGATTCGCTCTCGGCTCCGGAAACGTCGCGCGGGGGGGACACGCACCGCCTCTGCCGCCGCGTCCAGCAGGAGGTCGCATCTTTACAGGTGTCCGGTGAGCGTAGACGCGCTCCGGAGTACCGAGATTACTCGCCGGCCGACGTGTGAACGCGGTCGATGAAGTGAACGGGGACGCGATTTTCCGCGGAGAGAGAAGGTTTGGCTGGCTGGTCGAGAGCTGGTCGAGAGCGCACTCGAAAAATAAATCATCTTCCGACGTCGACGGCGACCCGTCCGCCGTCGTCCTAGTAGCTAGGCTAGCACCCGCCGCCCTCGCTTCTTTCCTCTAACTAATCGCCCAAGTACGCGACCGCGTCGATCTCTATCTTCGCGTTCAGCGGCAGCGTCTTCACGGTGAAGCACGCCCGCGCGGGCGGGTCGTTCGGGAACCGAGCGCCGTAGATCGCGTTCACCTTCGCGAAGTCGTCCATGTCCGCGAGGAGTATCGTCGTCTTCACGACCGCGTCGAAGTCCGCCCCCGCGGCTTTCAGGATCTCCCCCATGTTCTTCATGACCTGCTCCGTCTGCGACTCGACGTCGTCGCCCGCGAAGTCCTTCGTCCCGGGGACGAGGCCGATCTGTCCGCTGACGTAGAGCGCGTCCCCGGCGCGGACGGCTTGGCTGTACGGGCCGAGCGCCGCGGGGGCCTTGTCCGTGGCGACGACGCTCTTGGACATCGCGCGCGCGGCGACGACGCGCTTGGCGGGCGCGCGGAGCGTCGCCGGCGCGCGGAGCGCGGCGACGCGGCCGAGGGACGTGAGCGAGCGAGCGGCGGCCATCGGGGTGGTGTCGTAGAAAGTGATTATTCTGTGACGGAGAGCGGCCGCCGGTGGGCCGCGGCCGGCGCGCCGCGCGACGAGACCTCCGGTCGCGCCTGGTTTTTGCGGCCGAGTTTCCGCGCTGAGGCGCGCACAGCGAACGCCGCACCCGACGCGGCCGGCCGTCTGAACCGCGCCCACCGCGGGTTCAGAGACCTTCACTCTAAAGGTCCTCGCGACGCGCGCGCGCTCCGCGATCGCTCGCGCGCTCGAGGCGCGTCCGCGGGGGGCGCCATGAAGATGCCCACGTTCGAGAAGAATCCAAAGGAGAAGGCGTTCTCCGGGTTCGGAAAGTCGATGCTCAAGGCGATGGGGTGGAGCGAGGGCGAGGGCTTAGGGAAACAGCGCGACGGCATCAAGGAACACGTCAAGGTGAAGCAGAGAGAGTTCAACATCGGTCTCGGCGCGGAGAAGGAGCGGTACAAGTGGGAGGAGAAGTGGTGGGAGAATCACTACGAGGGCGCCGCCGCCAAAATCGCCGCCGCGTGCGCGGACGCGGGCGTCGCGGTCGACGACGGCGGCTCCGACGGCTCGGACAGCGACAGCGACAGCGACGCCGACAGCGACAGCGAGATGGCTCGGAACTTGAAGCACTGCGCCGTGGACGCGACCGGGAAGAAGATCGTCGCCGCGGGCAAGGTCAAGGGCCGCGACGGCATCTACTACAGCGGGCGAGAGTCCGACCTGAAGCTCGCGAAGGACCTCGCGAAGGGCGGCGGGAAGGGCGACGGCGGGTTCTTCGGAAGAGCGAAAGGGAAGCTCGCGCGCATTGCGGAGGCGGAGAAGGCGTTCATGGACAAGTACGGGGGGGTCCAGGAGGGCGACGCCGCGAGAGAGCGCGCCGCGCGCGGGGACGACGCGTCGTCCTCCGGCGGGGGATCCTCCGACGCGAAGAAGGCGAAGACGAGTCGGACGAAGGCGTCGAAGAGGGACAAAAAAAAAGCCAAAGCCGCCGCGGACGACGAGGCCGAGGCGGCGAAGAAGGCGGCGAAGAAGGCGGACAAGAAGTCGAAGAAATCCGCGCCGAGGACGCCGTCGCCCGATCCGGAACCCGAGCCGCTGACCGGGGAGGCGTACGAGGGGAAACCGAGCGCCAGCACGCTGTCGTTGTCGTGGTGGCAAAACGCCAAGTTCACGTGGGGCGGCGTCGTCGGGAGCAAACGCGAGCGCGACCTGGACGATCGATCCGCGGTGAAGCGCGAGCGAGGGTTCACGGAGGACGACCAGGAAGCGCTGTTCAACCTCGCGCACGACGGGAAGGTGGAGAAGAGATCGAAGAGGGGCTTGGGCGGTAAGGGCGTCATCAAGACGGAGCACACGGGGACGAAGCGGAGGTTCGACGACGACGGCGAGCTCGACGCGGCGCCGGGGACGGGGAAGTCCGCGAAGGAGCCCGCCGCGGTCGTCGTCAAGGAGAAGAGAGAGAAGAAGGAGAAGAAGGAGAATAAGAGCAAGAAGGAGAAGAAGAGCAAGAAGGAAAAGTCGCCCAAGGTGGACCTCGCGAGAGCGCCGGCGAAGCGAGCGAAGCGGAACTCGTACCTCGACAAGATAAACGACCTCGCCGCGGTGAACCGCGCCGGCGGGGCGAGGGTGCCGGGCAAGTGAAGCGCGGTGGCGACGACGACGACGAGGGAGGGAGGGAGGGAGCCGGCGAGCGGCGCGCGTCGGTTAGCATCATGTCGTGTCGTATGAGTGCGACGTCGTCGCGGCGCGCTCGCGTTCCGTCCGCCGCCTCGCCTCGCCTGGCTCGTCGGGCAGTGTGTTCCCCCAGCCTACCAGCCGTGATCAGCCGCAGCAGCCAGGCAGCCAGGCGCCCGTCGTCGCGTCGCTCAGATCATTTAAAAACGAACGCGTGCACTCGAGAGCGCGCCGCGGGCAGGGTGATACCGTCCGTCGCCGCGACTCCGACGCCCCCCCCCACATGAAGCGGGCCCGCGAGGAGGTCGACGAGCTCGACGATCGACCGCGGAAGACAGAGGAGTCCCCGCCGAAGCGCTTCCGCGCGCGAGTCGTCAGGCTCGTGCAGAGGCTCCTGACGTCGTACTTCCGCTCGGGCGCGGCGATCGCGCCGCGGTCGCCCGCGCCGGAGCCGGAGCCGCGGCGCGCGCTGGAGTACGACAACTCCGACGGCGAAGAGGACTGGGGCGGCGAGGAGCGGGAGGGGACGTTCAAGTCGGTCGCGGACGACGCGTCGGAGGAGGCGCGGTTCGGACGGTAGACTTTTAAGATCCACGCAGTCCGAGGCGGGACGACGATGAAGCGCGGAAGAGCCGCGACGGGGAGCACGCCGCAGCGAAGCGGGTCATCGTTCGTGGACTGCCCGCTCTGCGCGAAGTCGTTCCACTCCGCTTTGATCGCCGCGCACGTCGAAAGTTGCCTCGGCGTCGTCGCCGCGGAGGAGCCGCCGAAGGAGGAGGAGGCGACGACGCGCGGAGGAAATCCGAAAGAGCAGACGAAGGCGCCGGCGGACCCTTCCCCGCCGCCGCCCGCCGACGCGCCCGCGCCCGCGCCGTCCGCGTTCGCGGCGATGATGAGAGCGCAGCGAGGCGCGAGCTGCAAGCGCGTCTTCACGGCGTGGATCGACGCGGCGACCGACGCGTGGCGGTGGGTCGTCGAGCCCGGCGCCGCGCCAGGCGCCGCCGCGGAGGCGGCGGGGTTCGACGCGAGCGGCGCGAGGGGCGGCGGCGGGCTGTTCACCGCGGTCGTGAAGTTCAAGGAGAAGACGACGGAGGGAGAACCGTGCGAGACGACGCTGACGCTCGTCACGGACGTCCAGCCCGCGAGCGCGGGGGAGGCGGAGGCGGAGCTCCGCGCCGCCGCGCGACCTCCGTCGGACGGCTCGCGGGGGGCCTCGGACGGCGCGCCGCACCTCTCCCCCGGGGTGCTCAAGTCCGCGCTCCAGAAGAACATACGGCGCGGGCGGATCGTCTCCGCGGCGCGGTGCGCGAGGCTTCTGCTCCTTCAGTCCCCGTCCGAGGCGCTCAGAAGGCTGCCCGTGATCGCGCTCGAAGACGCCGTCGCGCATCCCGCGACGCCGCTCGTCGCGTGGCTCGCCGCGGCGCACAGCAAAGGGTACGCGCTGCCTCGAAGCGCGCGCGATGTCGTCGTGCGCTACGCCGCGGAGCTCGCGGCGTGCGATGGGAAGGACGTCGACGTCGTCGGGGAGGACGCGTTTGACGAGAAAGAGAACGGCGCGGCGGCGACGGCGACGGCGACGACGACGACGAGCGAGCTGTGCAACCTCGCGGTGGCGTGTCGAGGCTTGGACGCGTCGCGCCAGTCCGGGATGATCGTCGCGCTGTGCGTCCGCGCGCACTTCGGGGGGATGAAAGGCGACGTGGACATGCTCCGCGCGAGCGCGGCGACGTGGCGCGCGAGGTTCGTGGAAGAGAACGCCGAAGCGAAGGAGTCGAACGGATCGCGCGCGGGCGCGGGCCCCTCGTGGTCGTCCGCGCTCGACGCGCTCTTCGCGTCCGCGGCGGAGAAAGCGTCCGCGGCGCTCGCCCTCGCGGCGCGTCGCGCGTCCTCAGACGACGGCGCCGCCGCCGCCGTCCCGGCTCTCGCGTCGGCCGCGCCCGTGGACGCGGGCGCGTTGACGCGAAAAGACGTCCCGCCCGCGGCGATTGACTTTCACGTCTCGGACGTCGTCGAGGACGCGTGTCGATCGCCGCGCGCGAGCGTCGCGCTGACCGAGGCGCTCGATCACGGGCTCGACCGCGCGCTCGGGGAAGATCTCCCCGCGCTCGTGCGGTCGGTGATATGGTCGCGGTGCTCGTCCGTCACGGACAAGAGCGCGTGGTCGAGAGCTTGGGCGGGGGCGGGGGCGGAGGTGAGACTGCTTCCCATACGACCCCGTTCGCGTGGTGCACGCCGTTCCTTAAGGACTTTTCCCGTCGTCACTCTTCACCCGCGCTTCCCTTTCAACGTTTGACCGGTAAGACGTTCGACTGACCGATCGCTTCACCCACGCAGGCGGCGGGGGCGGAGGCTTCGCGGGCGGCGGCGGCGGCTTCGCGGGCGGCGGAGAAGGAGGAGGAGAAGGAGCGGAAGCCCGTCGACGCGACGGAGATTTTCTGGCGGCGGATCGAGAGCGCGGTGGAGAGCTACCAGCGGCGGTTCATCGCGCGCAGGTTCTTCGACGAGTGAGCGACGTCACAGTAGTAGTCACACTAGCAAGCAAACAGGCGAGGCCTGACAGAACAGATAATAAACAGAGTCAGGTGCAGTGGTCGGTGCGAAAAGAATCTGTTCTTGACGACTTCGTCGACGACCTCGACGCTCGCGCGTCTGGTCTCACTCCTCGCGCGCGCGATCGCGATGGCGTCCGTGGAGACGTACGTCGCGGACTACGCGAATCCGTCGCACGCGAAGACGGTGAGCGACCTCCTGAACGGGTACGCGCTCGACCAGTTCGGGAACAGCGGACCGCTCCCCGACGAGATTCGCGCCAAGCTGTGCGCCGAGCTCGCGAACGTTCCCGGCGCGTTCAGCGTCGTCGCGACGATCGCGGGCGAGGCCGTGGGGTTGATTAACGCGTTCATGGGGTTCAGCACGTTCAAGTGCAAGCCGCTCGTGAACGTGCACGACGTGTTCGTCTCGCCGGAGCATCGAAGGAAGGGCGTGACGCAGGCGATGATGGCGAGGGTGCAAGCCATCGCGATCGAGAGAGGCGCGTGCAAGCTCACGCTGGAGGTGCTCGCGAACAACCCGAACGCGATGGGGTCGTACAAGAAGTTCGGGTTTAAATCTTACGAGCTCGACCCGGAGCTCGGCGTCGCGCACTTCTGGGAGAAGAAGCTCGAGTGAGTCCTTCGGACGTCGTCGCGGGCGGCGGCGCGGCGCGAGCGAGAGACTTCGAGAGGCACGGATGGACGCGCGCGCTCGTCGATAGATTAGATTGATTCACTCGCACGTCGCGTGTCCTAGCTACCACGATGTGAACACGCGCGGTGCGGTACGGTGCGATCGCCCCGGAGCGCCCCCTCCCCCGCCTTTTTAAGACGTCTGGCGGTCTCTTCGTCCCTCCCTCCGCCTACGACCCGAGCTTAAACGCGTCCGTGACGAGCGCGTAGATGAGACCGAGCTTGAACCAGTTCAGAAACCCCCAGTACTTCCCGGGCTTGATCTTGTTGTAGTACGCCCTCGTCACGAGCTCGAAGAACCCGACGCAAAACGCGCCGGCGACGACGTCGTTGATCCCGAGCACGCCGAACGTCAGCGAGATGACGTTCGCGGTGTAGAATCCCGCGAAGGCGCTGATGGCTTTCCACAGCGTTCGCCTGCCCTTGCGCACGCGGAAGTACAGCTCGATCCGGATCGGGAGGGTCGTGAGGATGGACGCGATGCGCGTCTCCCTCGGCCCCGTCACCGCGGTGATCGTCAGCTCGCCGCGTCGTCCGCCGCCGCGATGGACGCGCCCCCGCGAGGCGATGGACGCGCGGCTCGCGGCGGATCCGATGGGGCGAAAGATCATCGCGCGCTCGGCCGCGCCGTCGCCGCCGGCGGACGACAGCGCTCGCGACGCGCTCGACGCCGCGGGCCGGACCGTCCGTCGCGATACCCCCGCGCCGCCCATCCCGACCGCGGCGGTCGTCCCGAGCGTCGCGATCGCCGCCATCGTCGCGTCGCCGCGCGAAAACCCAAGTCGAGTCGTCCGCGCCTTTACCTTTCCCGCGCGAAGGGACGCCGCCGACGCGCCGCTCGTGCGCGGGCGCGCGCGTGCTACGCCGCGATCGCGATTCGCGCGCGCGTGCGTCGGTCGGGGGAACCGAACGACCCTCGACGTGCGTGCGGTGGACGCCGCGCGCGAAGCTCTGCGGACGGCGCCGCGCGACGAGCGGTTGGTTGCGGATAAAATCGCCACCGTCGGCAACCTCTCGCGCGGACGGGGGCCCAGCTGGCGTAGGGTCGCACGTACGGCGAGCAGTCAGACGTGTACGCGAACGCGTAGTACACGACGCGGCGCGAGAACGACGAAACGATCGACGATCGGCCTCTCTATCGCGGCGACCTAGCTAACACGCATCCCCCCCCCAACTCGTCGTCGCTCGCGTCAGTCGTACGTCTGCAGGTTCTCGTAATACTCCCTCGTCTTCTCCAGCGTGGACGTGAACGCGAACTTCACGATCGATCGCTCCCCCTTCGTGATGGGCGTCACGCGGTGAATCACGCTCTCCGCGCGGACGACGATGACGCTGTTCGGCTCCGTCCACCCGCCCCTCCTCGCTCCCTCGCCGTCCTGCCACTGCGTCTGCGAGTCCGACGTGTTGTCCAGCGTGAACACGAGCTCGTACTGCGGCTCCGTGTACAGCGCGACGTCCTGGTGCCAGTCCATCGCGCTCCCCGGCGGGTACACGCGAAACTCCACGGGGACGTCCGCGGGTTGGAGGTCTTTCCCGACCAGCCGCGATATCCGGTCCGCGACGGTCTGGTTCATGAACGCGCGGTGGACGACGTGCTCGCGCGGGATCATCACGCCCAGCCGTTGCTTCGCGCACGCGCGGCGCTCCGTCGCCAAGGACGCGCGCAGCGTCTCGCACGCCTCTCTCACGACGCGGAAGTCGTCCGGGGAGAAAAAGTCTCTCGCGTAGACGAAGCCACCGCTCCGGGAGAAGACGCTCTCTTCCTGGCGCGTCCGTCGCGATCGGTCCGCCCTCGCCCTGCGCGCGCGCTGGAGGAGCTCGCGCGTGATCTGGAGGGAGCCGCCGGAGCGGGTGTAGTCGGCGACGCGAGACGGAGCCCCCGGCGCCGCGAGCGGGGGCGCTCTTCTTCGCTCCGCGGCGCCGCTTCTCTCCGAGGCGCCCGAAACGACGCCGCCGCCGGTCGCGCGCGGGGCGCTCCTGGACAGACCGCCCGCGCCCGCGCGAGGCTCGGTCGCGCCCGCCGCGCGCGGCGTGGCCGGGGGTTTCCACCACGGATCGCCGCCGGCGGCGTTCGACGCGGACGCGGTCGTCGCGGAGGACGCGTTCGACGACGACGCGCGCCCCCCCGAGCGGAAGAAGATCGCGGCCGCGCCCCCCGGACGACGGCGCGAGGGCGCGAGCGGCGCGGCGCGGAGCGCGTCGCGCGAGGACAGCGCGCTCGCGTCCGTCGCGGCGCGTCGCGACGCGACGAGCGCGGTCGCGGACGTCGTCGCCATCGCGGCCGCCATCGCGCGCTCTCGCCTCCTCGAGAGAGATCCGCTCGCCGCGCGTACCTAACACGCGCCGACGAAAAGCGAGCGCCCTCTCGCCGCGCTTCAGATCCGCGCCGCGATCCGCGCGCGTCGGTTCCGCGCCGCGCCGCGTTCTTCGCGCGCGCGGTGTAGACGACTTCGCGAAGACT